TCACTGTAGTTGCTGCTGGATGAAGTGTCGGTGTCGCTGCTGCTGCTGCTGTCGCTGCTGCATTCGCTGCTGCGTTCGCTGCTGCTGCTGGATGAAGTGTCGGTGGAAGCTGCCGACTGGTTCGCGAGAAGCTAATTTATTCGCTGGAGTGCCGCTCGCATCTTGTCCACATCGGTGCTTAACTCCATAATTTTTCGTATGGAATAATCACCTTTTTCCTCCATTTGGCGATTTACAGGAAGATGTGCGACGAACAAAGATGAAATCTAGGCGCTGGTCAACTTACCGGATGGCTAGGTCGAGCGCCTTACTGGTCAACTTACTGGATGAAATCAAAGCACTGGTCGGCCCCGTCTGGCTCCCTGTCAGGTCTTTACCTCCCCTCGTTCTCTACGAACCTGGTGAGTGGTGCTGACCTACAGGATGGAGGGGTTGACCAGTTCACTCCTGCGAGTCAGCGAGTGACCCACTGCACGTATGCTCCGACGGGCCGACACTTGGCCACGTTTACCCGTCAGCCGGGGTCGAGCCTGTACACACTGACTACCGAGTCTCCTCCGGTTACTGCGTCTAGTCAGGTAGCTGCGTCGGGTCAGGTGTTTGCTGCAGCGTCCAGGTCTGGTCCTGAGTCTGCCCCCTGTTCGTGTCGCCTCCTGTCTCACCAGACTCTCCTCTGGCACCACCGCCTTGGTCACCCCTCCCTGCCTCGTCTCCAAGGCATGGCCTCCCGTTACCTTGTCTCTGGTCTTCCTCGGTCCCTCCCTCCCCTTCCTCTGGGGCCTGCCCCTACCTGCGTTCCCTGCGTCGCGGGGCGGCAGCACGCCGCTCCTCACTCCTCCGAGTTTCCTCCGACAGAGGCTCCGCTGCAGACTCTCCACATGGACGTGTGGGGCCCAGCCCGCGTCCGTGGACAGGGTCACGAGCGTTACTTCCTGCTGGTGGTTGACGACTATTTGCGTTATACCTCAGTCTTCCCCTTGCACCGCAAGGGCGAGGTCACTGAGGTGTTGATCGACTGGATCCGCGCTGCCCGTCTCCAGCTCAGAGAGAGTTTCGGCTCGAACTTTCCTGTTCTGCGTCTGCACTCCGACAGAGGTGGAGAGTTTTCCTCCGACCTTCTGCGAGCCTTCTGTCGTGCGGAGGGCATCCGCCAGACGTTCACGCTTCCGGCCTCTCCACAGCAAAATGGGATTGCTGAGCGCCGCATTGGCATGGTCATGGACGTCGCTCGTACGTCCATGATCCATGCGGCTGCTCCCCATTTTCTGTGGCCGTTCGTGGTTCAGTACGCGGCGCATCAGATCAACCTTCAGCCTCGGGTCTCCATGCCGGAGACCTCCCCTACTCTGCGGTGGACGGGGAAGGTTGGCGATGCATCTGCGTTCCGTGTCTGGGGATCTCGAGCTTTCGTCCGCGACTTGTCTGCGGACAAGCTGTCTTCCCGTGCTGTTCCCTGCGTCTTCCTTGGCTTCCCCCCTGACGCGCGTGGTTTGCAGTTTTACCACCCCACCTCGCGCCGTGTTCTGTCCTCTCAGGACGTCACGTTTGACGAGTCGGTTCCTTACTACCGTCTCTTCCCCTACCGCGCTGCCCCCCTCCCCCCTCCGCCGCTCTTCCTTGCCCCAGGTCCCCCCCCGGTAGACCCCCTCCCCCCTCAGGGTCCTGCCCCCTCAGGTGTGTCCCAGGAAGACGCAGTCGAGTCTGTCAAGGTAGCTGTTAACTCTGGTGCTGCTAGGGGTGCTGAGCCTGCGGGTGCCGGGTCTGGGGGTGCTGAGCCTGAGCGTGCGGAGTCTTGGGGTGCTGAGTTTGGGGGTGCTGAGCCTGGGGGTGCTGAGTCTAGGTGTGCTGAGCCTGGGGGTGCTGATGCTGGGGGTTTTGGAGCCACTGGTCCCGGAGGTGCTCGTACTGGAGGTACTGGAGCTGCTGGGCCTGGTGGTGCTGCTGGGGCTAGAGCTCCTGGAGGTGCTGGAGCTGGCGGTACTACTGGACACGCTGCTGCTGGAGGTGCTTGCCCTGGCGCTGCTGAGGCTGCTGGGGCTTCTGGTGGTCCTGCTGGAGCTGGAGGTGCTAGAGCTGGAGGTGCTGCTGGAGCCGGAGCTCCTGGGGGTGCTGGAGTTGGCGCTACTGGAGCTGCTGGAGGTGCTGCTGGAGCTGTTGGTGCTGCAGGAGTTGGAGCTGACGCTGGGGGTGCTGGTGCTGTCCCTGCTGGTTCTGGAGGCGCTGCGCGGCCGCGGCCGTACTTCGTTTCGCTCCTTGAGCAGGTTCTTGGTCTCCCGCCTTCTACTGGTCCTGCTCCTTCCGTAGAGTGTCCACAGCCTGTCCAGTCCGCGTCACAGTTACAGCCTGCCTCCCCACTGCCTGCTCCTTCTCCTTACACTGGTCCGACCGGAGGTCTTGCGGAGCGTCGTGAGCCTGAGTCTCGTCCTGTGTTGCCTGCGTCTCGTCCTATGTCGCCTGTTCGTGCTGCTCGCACCAGTCGTCGTGGTTCGCGTCAGCGTCCTCCTCCTGACCCTGGCAGACACCAGATGGCTCTGCGTCCTTCCACTGCTCCGCGGCGTGTCCCTCTGCCGGCTCCTCCTGCGTCCTCTCTTCCTGCCCTTGCTGACCCGGAGTCTGACTCCCTTCGTGCTGCCAGTCCTACTGTCACGCGTCTCCTGGCCACTGTTGTCACTGACCCTTCCTTTGAGTCCACTGCTGCGTCTGCCTTAGTTGCTGAGCTTGTCGACTTTGCTGCTCACTATCGTCTAGACTACGCCGCTAGTCTTGTTGCTGAGTATGAGTCTGTCTGACCTCCGTCCGTCGGGGGTGAGTGTGCTCTTAGCACGGACGTCCTTGAGGACAGGCAGGAGGAGTTCCAGTGCTTTGCTGCTGCTTTACCTCATCTCATGTCCATGCTGCTTGCCCCTGAGGGAGACCCGGATGCACCAGACATCTCGACCCCGCGCTCTTACGCAGAGGCGATAGAGGGTCCCTACTCCTCTCAGTGGCAGACAGCCATGGACGCAGATATGGCTTCCTGGAAGTCCATAGGCACCTACGTCGACGAGGTTCCCCCACCTGGGGCGAACATCGTCAGTGGCATGTGGATCTTCAGGGTGAAGCGGCCGCCGGGTTCTTCGCCTGTCTTCAAGGCGCGTTACGTGGCTCGAGGCTTCAGTCAACGGCAGGGAGTTGACTACTTTCAGAGCTTCTCTCCCACCCCGAAGATGACCACTCTTCGGGTACTGCTGCACATAGCCGCTTAGCGCAACTACGAGCTTTACTCTCTTGACTTCAGCACTGCTTTCCTACAGGGCAGCCTGCATGAGATCTGGCTGCGCCGCCCTCCTGGCTTCACTGGGTCATTTCCTCCTGGTACCCAGTGGAGCCTTCGGCGGCCAGTCTACGGTCTTCGCCAGGCACCCCGTGAGTGGCACGACACACTGAGGACTACACTTGCGGCTCTTGGGTTTGCTCCTTCTACTGCTGACCTGTCGCTGTTTCTACGCACCGACACCTCTTTGCCGCCGTTCTACATCCTCGTGTACGGCGACGACCTGGTTTTTGCTACTGCTAACACTGCTGGACTCGCCCACGTGAAGTCCGGGCTGCAGAAGAGACACACGTGCACAGACCTGGGTAAACTGCGCAGCTATCTTGGCTTGCAGATCACCCGGGACAGAGCACGGCGCACCATTACCTTGACTCAGTCACACATGGTGCAGCAGGTCCTTCAGCGCTTTGACTTCACGTACTCCTCGCCTCAGGCCACTCCTCTGTCTACTCGCCACTCGCTCTCAGCTCTGCCTTTGGATGAGTCCGTAGAGCCGAGTGGCCCGTACCCAGAGCTTGTTGGCTGCCTCATGTACCTGATGACCTGCACTCGACCTGACCTGGCATACCCCCTTAGCATCTTAGCACGCTATGTTGCTCCTGGGAGACACCGACCAGAGCACATGGCTGCAGCGAAGAGGGTGTTGCGCTACTTGTGCAGTACGTCGGGCATGGGGCTAGTGCTTCGAGGGCGGAGTCCAGTGCTCCTCACTGGTCACGCAGACGCGTCTTGGGTTGACGACTTGGCTACGCAGCGGCCGTCACAGGGTTACACCTTCAGCCTTGGTTCCGGCTCAGTTTCGTGGCGGTCTACCCGCTCGTCTTCTGTTCTCAGCTCTAGCTGTGAGGCTGAGATCTACGCTGGGGCCATGGCTGCACAGGAGTTACGCTGGCTCACCTACCTGCTGACTGACATCAGAGAGCCACCTCGTTCTCCTCCAGTTCTGTATGTAGACAACAAGGCCATGCTGGCCTTGTGTCGGGAGCACAGACTGGAGCACAGAACGAAGCACGTTGTTCTTCGCTACTTCCTTTGTCACCGCATATGCACCTAATGCATATGCAATAACAGTAGGATGATGGTGTAAGGGGGGCTTGTAGTGGCTGTTATGGGAACATTAGCTAGTTATAAGAGTATTAGTTAGGAATCAGTTGTAGGTGTAGAACGTAGGAAAGTTACTGTTAGGGAGGGGTGTAGAAAGGGGGAAATTGGATGGGAGCGGTTGGGATTGCGAGGGAAAAGGCACCGAAGGGCGAAATAGGAAGCCAAGCAGTCCCAACCCCGAGCCGCACTTTTGGGAATGTGCAGCTTGGGGTTGGGTAAGGGCAGTCACAGCCAACCCCTCGATGCTTTCGTGCTGTTATTCTCTCATATTAGTGGAAAGCTGTTACCTCTGATCTAGCATCCGGTGGCACGCCACTAGGGGAGGACCTACTGGGTGAGGGAGGAAACTCGTTCATAACAGCACGAAAGCCCATCGAGCGGTTCGAGCAAATAGCATAGAATGGACTGCCACGAGCTGCGCTGGCAGCGGACAGACTCGCGACGGGAAATCTTGCCGTCGCGGAGGATGCGCTCACGGGAGCATGGGAGATCACTTGCGCGTTCGCCACGGAGGGCGGCGTACGGCGCGGATTCGGTGACGCCCGTCGGTGGGCGAGCTGAAGGTGTCAGGTCGGAGCCCAGGATGGGCAGTGACCCGCGGATTCTGGCAGGAGGCCAGCGCAGAACGGGTGTAAGGCGTCGCGACGGTGTGGACGGGGTAGATTCGTCCGATTCGGCAAGCGAGGCTGACGGCGCGGAAGAAGCAGACGGCGCGGAAGAAGCAGACGGCGCGGAAGAAGCAGACGGCGTGGAAGAAGCGGACGGCGCGGAAGGAGCGGACGGCGCGGAAGGAGCAGACGGCGCGGAAGAAGCAGACGGCGCGGAAGAAGCAGAAGGCGCGGAAGAAGCAGACGGCGCGGAAGGAGCAGACGGCGCGGGAGAAGCAGACGGCGCGGAAGAAGCAGACGGCGCCATCCCGATGGCGCGGGATGGTGAGAGGGAGGAAGTGGCGGAAGAAGGGCGCGACGGAGAGAGCAAGGATGCGGGAGGAAATTGCTCGCCGGTAAGGATGCGCGGAGGCGGCGCGAAGCGTCACGGGAACATGACGACAGGTCGTTCGCCGGAAGACATGCGCAGGGGAAGCGTGAGGCGCTGCGGGAGCACGGATGCAAACGGATTGGCAGACGAAGGGCGTGAGGAGGGCGCGAATGCAGACGGATTGGCAGACGAAGGGCGCGGGGGCGCGGATGCAGATGGTACGGTGGACGAAAAAGGTGGAAACAGCGTGAGGCACTGCGGAGGCAAGGATGCAGGTCGCTCGGCAGACGAAATGCGAGGTGGCAGCGCAAGGCGCCGCGGGAGAGCGGATGCAGACAGCTCGCCAGAACGGATGCGCGGGAGTGGCGGGAGGCGCCAAGGGAACATGGCAGCAGATCGTTCGCCAGAGGAGGTGCGCGAGGGAGATGCGAGGCGCCGCAGAACCGCAGCGGCAGGTCGCTCGCCGGACGATCTTCGGGAGGACAGCAGGAAAAACCATGCGCCAACGGGACGGTACAGCTCGCCTGAGCTGCGAGGACGTGGGAGGAGACGCGTGGCGATGGCCGCGCGGCGATCGCCAGAGGTGCGGAGGGAGCAGTATGAGCGAGGGAGACTGGCAGGTCAACGGGGGCCTGCTGTTTGGGGGAGAGAGAGACAAAGAGAGAGAGGTGAGGAGCAACGTGGGCGACGGGAGAGTAAGCCAGAGGAAGAACGGGGCAGACGAGCAGGTCCGGGCGGGGAGCGAGGGGATTGTGAGGAAAGAGATGGGTGGTGCTCACCAGAGAGAGGAGGGGGGCGTGAGGAGGGACGCATCAGGGAAGGTGCACGACGATCGCTGGGCGCAACGAGGGCAGAAGAAAGGGGGAAAGGGAACCGACGGCGGCGGGAAGATGTGGAGCGAGAAAGGCGGTATCAGGAGCACTCGCATGATGGGAAGGAAAGGCGGTGGGACGGAGCAGAGAAGTGGAGAGCGGCTTACGAGAGAGAGCGAGGAAGGAGTCCGAGTACAAGGGGCCCGAGGGGGCAATGGCAATCAGGAGGAGGATCCGAAGGAGCCAGAGCGGCCAGAGAGGGGACAGAACGGGCGATGTATGGGGCAAGCTCGGGCAGCAGGGGAACAAGGAAAAGGGGTGAAGAGAAGCAGAGTAGGCGACGGGAAATGATGCTTGCGCATGAAACGGAGAGTGAGGACGAAGGAGAGTGTGACGGACCTACGCGCCACAGGTCGGGCCGAAGGGAGGGGCGTTGGAAAGAACATTTCCCGGAGAAGAGGGAGAGACTAGGGTGGGGATCGGAGAGATATGGGGAGGCTCAAGAGAGAGAGGGGGGAAGGAGCATAGGTCCGACGTGGCGGAGAAGGCGGCAGCAGTCATGGGTAGGCGCTACGGGGGCAAGGGCAGCCAGGGAAGGAAGTGGTCGAGTGCTGTATGGGACAGAGTCAAGAAGCAGAGAGTTGAGGGAGAGGAGGGGAGAGAGTAGCAGGAGGAATGAGAGCTCAGGGACTTGGGAGACAGGGAGGTGGAGTGCGCAGGCCCCACCTCAGGTGGAGGTGCAAGTGCGCTTTACGGGGGGAGCAGGGTCAGACACAAACCTGAAGAATTACCTGATGCAAATCGGTAATGTGAAGTACCGCTGCGACAGGAGTGGGATGGACCCGATAGAGTTTTTCTTGAGCCTACCGAACACGCTGGGAGGCGAAGCTGAGACGCTATATCGTATGAAGATGAAGGAATGGCTGAGGAGGGCAGAGGAGGAGGATGAGGACCCAACCACTCTGTTCCTAGAGCGGCTGCGGAAGCAGTTTCCAGGGCACACGGCGGAGAGGGTGAGAGAATTTCAGGAATTCCAGCGAGGGAGGGCCGAGTCACTGCTCACCTACTACGGTAGGTTGACGGATCTGGCGGAAGACGTGGTGTGCACAGATGGCAGCATGCTTATAAGCAAGTTCCTGGGGGGTCTGGATGAGGGATTGAGCGGCGGGCTGAGAATGAGAGTGTATGAGTTGGGAGCTGAAGCAACGCTGGAGGAGGTGTTTGAGTTGGCAGAGAGAGTGGAGCTGGCGCAGAGGCGGTATGAGGCGTACCTGCCGAGGGTGTTAGAGAAAGGGCGGCACAGGTGGGCTGCAGCGATGATAACCGAGGACGGGGGTGGGGAGGAGCAGTGGCAGGAGAGGCGAGCAGAAACACGGACGTGCCACAGGTGCGGGCAGGAGGGGCATATCAGGAGGGAGTGCAAGAACTGTGATGTGTGCGGAAAGCCTGGGCACCGACGGAGGGACTGCCCAGATGCACCGAGCTGTGAGGTGTGTGGGAATCGGGCAAGAAACTGCTATGAGAAAGGAAGGGATGCAAGGAGATCACCCAAGGAGATCGAGGAACAGATCGAACAGTTACGAGCCCAACTGCAGGCACTGGGAGAAAGAACTCAGGGGCAAGCGGGGTTGTACGCGGAGGAGGAAGAGGGGCAGGAGCCAGAACACTCCGGTGCGGTGCTGCGTGGCCATGCAGACATGTGGCTGCGCAGTGGGGGCAGGGACATACGAAGGGAGCTAGTGAGTAAGGTGGGGGCAAGGGCGTGTATGTCAGCAACACCAGCAGCAGCGGGAGCAGAGGAGCAGGACGAGCAGGCGGGGGCAGGAGCGTGCGCACCAGCAGCAGCGGGAGCGGAGGAGCGGGATGAGCAGGTGGGGTCAGAAGCGTACGTACCAGCAGCAGCGGGAGCGGAGGAGCGGGATGAGCAGGTGGGGGCAGAAGCGTGCGTACCAGCAGCAGCAGAAGCGAAGGAGCGGGATGAGCAGGTGGGGGCAGAAGCGTGCGTACCAGCAGCAGCAGGAGCAAAGGAGCGGGATGAGCAGGTGGGGGCAGAAGCGTGCGTACCAGCAGCAGGAGCGAAGGAGCGGGATGAGCAGGTGGGGGCAGAAGCGTGCGTACCAGCAGCAGCAGGAGCGAAGGAGCGGGATGAGCAGGTGGGGGCAGAAGCGTGCGTGCCAGCAGCAGCGGGAGCGGAGGAGCGGGACGAGCAGGTGGGGGCAGAAGCGTGTGCATTAGCAGCGGCGGAAGCGGGAGGGAAGAACGAGAAGGTGGGGGCATGGTCGGGTGTACCAGTGGCAGCATAAGCGGAAGGGAGGGAAGGGAAGGTGGGGGCACAGGCGGGCATGACAGCAGTAGCGGAAGCGGAAAGCGGGGCAGTGAAGGTGGGGGCACAGGCGTGCATGACATCAGTAGCGGAAGTGGAAAGCGGGGCAGTGAAGGTGGGGGCACAGGCGGGCATGACAGCAGTAGAGGAAGCGGAAAGCGGGGTAGTGAAGGTGGGGGCACAGGCGGGCATGACAGCAGTAGCGGAAGCGGAAAGCGGGGCAGTGAAGGTGGGGGCACAGGCGTGCATGACAGCAGTAGCGGAAGCGGAAAGCGGGGCAGTGAAGGTGGGGGCACAGGCGTGCAAACCAGAAGTAGCAGAAGCGGCAGGGAGGGAAGAGAAGGAGAGAGCACAGGCGTGCGCAGTAGCAGCAGCGGAAACGGAAGAGGAAAGGAAAGAAGAGAATTTGGGGGGCACAGGCGTGTGCAGTAGCAGCAGCAGAAGAGGAAGGGAAAGAAGCGAGGTTGGGGGCACAGGCGTGTGCAGTAGCAGCAGCAGAAGAGGAAGGGAAAGAAGTGAGGTTGGGGGCACAGGCGTGTGCAGTAGCAGCAGCAAAAGAGGAAGGGAAAGATGAGAAGTTGGGGGGCACAGGCGTGTGTAGTAGCAGCAGCAGAAGAGGAAGGGAAGGAGAGAAGTTGGGGCACAGGCGTGTGCAGCGGCAACAGCAGAAGAGGAAAGGAAGGAAGAGACGTTGGGGACACAGGCGTGTGCAGCAGCAGCAGCAGAAAAGGAAGGGAAAGAAGAGAATTTGGAGACACAGGCGTGTGGAGCAGCAGCAGAAGAAGAGGAAGGGAAGGAAGAGAAAGTAGGGGCACCTGAGTGTGTAGCAGCAGCAGCGGAGGCGGGAGTGGAGGATGAGGAGGGAGGATGGGCAGGGTGGACTGCAAAGGAAGGATCTAAGTGGACGGTGGGGGGGGGGGCCAATGAGCGGGCAGGGGAGGGAGGTCACACTCGTGACACAGACAGTGGGAACAGGAGGGGTGGAGAATGGCGTGGCATTGGTAGAAACCAGGGCAAGGTACCTGAAGGAAGGACTGCCGGCAGCACGGGAGAACTTACAGACAGTGCAGCTGAGAGATGCACACAGGCCAGAGGAGCGGCTGCAGCAGGGCTGCACCAAGCACAAGGGCGGCAGAAGGAGTGAGACAGGAAGTCTACCCCTCAGGGGGACAGAAGGATACTCTGGAACAGGAAGTGGTGCCGGGCACACAGAGAAGGAGGGCGACGAATCTGAGGGGGCGGGAGTGCTGTGTCAGAGAGTGGGCGAAGAGAGAAGACAGGGGACCACCAATACTGCAGTGGTGAGAAGTACCCCGGCCTGAGCAAGAGTGTCCAGTGCCTCGTGCACGGGAGACCCGAGCACGAGCTCTGGAGGGGGCATGTGGTGGCTGAGGCAGAGAAGGGAAGGTATCACAGGAACAGGGCAGAGGGAAGAAGGGAGGGAGGATGAGTGCCGGGAGGAGAGGGCAGGCCATGGGAGGAAACAGAGGAGGGGGCAGTGGTACGAGTGAGGCATCTCCAAGAGGGTCCTGTGACACGAGCTCAAGCGGCTAGAGCACGAGCACAGGAGGGGGCAGCGGTTGAGTGAGGCTTTGCAACACGGAGAAGGGAGGAAGCAGAGAGACAGCAGGAGAAGAGCAGGTGCAGGAAGAACAGCAGGAGCAGGGAGAAGAGTAGGTACGAGGAGCAGAGCATGGGCTGGGAGAAGGAAGGTTCTCCGACACCTTGCTCGTGAGCTGCAGCAGCGTGGTCAGCTGCGCCTTGCTTACGTGGCCTCTCGGGCCAACACTGCTGATATCTTCACCAAGGCACTTCAGCCTTGTGATCATCAGCGCTTCTGTACTATGTTAGGTCTTGTACCTACCTGGCCTCAGTTGCTTACCTCTTGACTTTGCTTTGTACTGTGATCTATATATCCGTGCACTTCCATGTTTACCTTTGTATATAATCCTGCATGTGAACTGGCCTTGTGGCCTTTGAACTTGTGCTCGGAATGTGTGGTTGTTAGAAATGTGTGTATAGCATGCTAAGTATAAAAGGGGTTGAGGCTACACCCAACTTTGGGTGTAGCTTGCTTTGTAGGACTACACCCAACTTTGGGGTGTAGACTTGCAAGTTGGGGTGTCAATCCAACCCACAAGTGTTGGAGCCCCCAAGTGCAAGTTGGGTACCCCCTTTTTGCAACCCACAAGTTGGGTGCCCCCTCCTTGCAACCCACATGGTCCTTGTTGCAAGTTGGGTGCCTCCTCCTTGCAAGTTGCCATAGGGACTACCCAACCACCCAACATTCCCCCTTCCCTTCCAAGCTCCTCTTGCATCCTATGTATGTCCTTTCTTTCCCTAATCAAACTAATAATTCACTTTACAATCTTCACATGGTATAGAGCTAATTTTTCCTAGGCCTTACCTCTCCCCTCCCTCCAGTTTTTTTTTTCCATGGGCCCACCCTTCCCCACTTAGTCGACGTGGCCTAGACCGCCACCGTCGCCCCCAATCGCCCGCCAGTTCTTCTCCCGCGGGCATTTCGCCCGTCAGTTCTGCTCCCGCGGGCATTTCGCCCGTCAGTTCTGCTCCCGCGGGCATTTCGCCCGTCAGTTCTGCTCCCGCGGGCATTTCGCCCGTCTGTTCTGCTCCCGCGGGCATTTCGCCCGTCAGTTCTGCTCCCGCGGGCATTTCGCCCGTCACTTCTGCTCCCGCGGGCATTTCGCCCGTCACTTCTGCTCCCGCGGGCATTTCGCCCGTCAGTTCTGCTCCAGCGGGCATTTCGCCCGTCAGTTCTGCTCCCGCGGGCATTTCGCCCGTCAGTTCTGCTCCCGCGGGCATTTCGTCCGTCAGTTCTGCTCCCGCGGGCATTTCGCCCGTCAGTTCTGCTCTTGCGGGCATTTCGCCCGTCAGTTCTGCTCCCGCGGGCATTTCGCCCGTCAGTTCTGCTCCCGCGGGCATTTCGCCCGTCTGTTCTGCTCCCGCGGGAAATTCGCCCGTCCGTTCTGCTCCCACGGGCATTTCGCCCATCCGATCCGCTCCCACGGGCGTTTCGCATCTCCCCCACGCTTCTGCCGCCCCCCCCCCACCTCCCCCCCCCTTTTCCTCCCCCTCCCCCCCCTTTTTCCTCCCCCTCCCACCCTCGCTTCCTCCTCCTACGGGCCATCCAGCCCTCCCCCCCCTTCCCCCTCTCCCTCCTCCTCTCCCTCTCCCCCCTCTCAGCAGCAGCAGCAGCCGAACCAGCAGCAGCAGCGGCAGCACCAGCCGCAGCAGCAGCAGCAGCAGCAGCAGCTGCATCCCCCCTTCCCCCTCTCCCTCCTCCTCTCCCTCTCCCCCCCTCAGCAGCAGCAGCAGCCAAACCAGCAGCAGCAGCGGCAGCAGCGGCAGCACCAGCCGCAGCAGCAGCAGCTGCATCCTCCCTTCCCCCTCTCCCTCCTCCTCTCCCTCTCCCCCACCCCCCGGCAGCAGCAGCTGCACCCTCCCTTCCCCCTCCCGCTCCTCCTCTCCCTCTCCCCCCCTCCCCCCAGCAGCAGCAGCAGCAGCAGCGGCAGCAGCAGCTGCACCCTCCCTTCCCCCTCTCCCTCCTCCTCTCCCTCTCCCCCCCTCCTCAGCAGCAGCGGCAGCAGCGTGAGGTGCGCAGCCGCAACAACGGCAGCAGCGGCAGCAGCGGCATCAGCGGCAACAGCGGCAGCAGCGGCAGCAGCGGCAGCCGCATCCGTGCCTGCATCCTCCTTTCCCCCCCCCCCCCTCCCCCTCCTCCTCTCCCTCTCCCCTCTCCTCGCAGCAGCAGCAGCAGCAGCGGCAGCAGCGGCAGCAGTGGCAGCAGCGGCAGCAGCGGCACCTGCGACTACATCCTCCTTTCCCTCCCCCCCCCCTCTCTCCCTCCTCTCTCTCTCTCCTCTCCTCGGCCGCAGCAGCAGCAGCGGCAGCAGCGGTATCAGCGGCAGCAGCGGCAGCAGCCGCTACAGCAGCGGCAGCAGCGGTATCAGCAGCAGCAGCAGCGGTGTCAGCGGCAGCAGCGGCATCAGCAGCAGCAGCAGCGGTGTCAGCGGCAGCAGCGGCATCAGCAGCAGCAGCAGCGGTGTCAGCGGCAGCAGCGGCATCAGCAGCAGCAGCAGTAGCATCAGCAGCCGCAGCCGGAGGGGTCCAGCAGCAGCAGCAGCCGGAGGAGTGCAGCAGCCCCAGCAGCAGCACTCTCCCCCCCCCCCCGCCCCCCCCCACTCCTGGCCGCCGCGGGTTCACCCGCCATCGCCTCCCCCTTGACCGCCACGGGTCCACCCGCCGTCGTCTCCTCCTTGGCCGCCGCGGGTCCACCCGCCGCCGCCCCTCATGGCTACCACCTCTCCTGCCCCTCTCCCCCCTCCCATCGACGCCTCCTCAGTCGACAAGCTGCAGCTTGCTGCTGATCGATCCGCCATCAATTGGCACTCGTTTGTCGGCAGCATTCGCCGCGTCCTTTGGGACGCCTTCGTCGGACCCTACTGCGTCCTCGATGTTCTCCTTCGCCGTCCATAGGCTCTCCAGCCGACTGCACCCAATCACCCTGGCGAACCTCCCCCTCTCCCTCCCGCTCCTGGCCCCCCTCCTCCTGAGCCTAACCTGGGCGTGGCCGATACCACCGAGCTTCAGGCCGCTGCTGACGCCACCTTCCTCCACGACCGCCGCGAGTACCTTATCCGCAAAGCCAACTATGAGGTTGCTGTACTCAACTACGAGTTTGGACGTCGGAGCGTGCCACTCGCCTGGCGCTGATTGCAGAGTACAACACCTCCATGGCGACTTACGTCCCCAACAGCATCGCCTGGGCCGCTGCCGACAACCGCGCCTGCACCATCCTCCTCGGTGCCCTCCCTGACGCCCTCATGCGCCGCTTCCAAGCTCGTGAAATGCGAGCTCACCTCATCTGGACCGAGCTCCAGTCTATGTTCGAGCGCCGCGACATCAGCTCCGTCGGTGTTCTCTTCCAGGAGTACTTCTCCATCACCCTTGCCACCTGTGACGGTGCTGTCAACTACGTGGGGCGCATGCAGGAGGTCGCTGATTGCCTTGCCGCTCGACAGGCTGCCCTCTCCGAGCCCCTGCAGATTGTCTGCTCTTCAACCTCACGCCGGACTACGAGTCCCGCCTGCACGCCTTCACCGAGGCTAACCCCTTGGCTGGCCTCACCGAGGTGACTCAGTGGATCATTGACACTGAAGTCAAGCTCCTCACCCCCATTGTCAACCTCACCACCACTCCTTCCTCCTCCACCTCCCTCAATGTCACGCAGCCGCGCAACCCGGGTGGTCGCAACGGCGGCGGAGGTCGTGGAGGGGGCGGGGGTGGTGGTGGTGGTCGGGGTGGTGGCGGTGGTGGCCGTGGTGGCCGTGGCCGTGGTGGTGGTGGTCCTGGTGGTACCACTCCTGGAGGTCCCTCGGGTGCCGGTGGAGCTGTGGTCCGTGGAGGTCGCCTTGGGACTCTCCCCCCCTGCACGTACGTTCGCCGCCATGGTCCCCACGCCGGCACGCCGTGTGGGCAGACCAACCACCCCCCTGCCACATGCTTCAAGGCGCTCAATGACGCCTGGTTTGACCGCGGCAACACTGGTACCCCTCCTCGCTGGAACAATGTTACCCCTCGCCCCTCCCTCGTGGACATTCAATCCCTCCCCTCCTTCCTCCCCGCTCACCTCCGCCTGCTCACCCCCTCCCCCCCTTCCCAGCTGCAGCAGTTTCAGCAGCAGCACCAGCAGCAGCAGCAGCAGCAGTACTTCCCACAGCAGCAGCAGCAGCAGTTTCTCCAGCCGCAGCAGCCGCAGTTTCTCCAGCCGCAGCAGCCACCGCAGCAGCAGTTCTTCCAGCAGCAGCAGCCGCCGCAGTACCTTCAGCCGCAGTGGCAGCAGCAACCGATGACCTTCGGTACAGCGGCCATGGCCGCCCATGCCTCCCTTGCTCCCCCCCCCTGGGGTTCCATCCCCTCTGCCCCCCCCAGTGTCCCTGACTCTCAGGGCAGTTTCCTTGGTCATGTTGCTGTTGCACCATCCGTCGCTTCCATGTATCCCTCTGCTATCAATGAGACGTCTTTCCAGTACCCCGTGTCACCTCCCCCTCTTTCCTCCCCCACCTTGGACTTTGTCCTTGACAGTGGGGCCACAGAAACTGCACTCAAAGACGCTGGCACCCTCACCCCCCTTCCACTTCCCACTCAGGTTCATGGTGCTGACTCTAGCTTCTCCATCCCATGCACTCACCTCTCCACCCTCCCTTGCACCGCTTTCCCTTCCGGTAGGGTCACAGGTCTCCACATCCCTACCCTTCGCAATAACCTCCTCTCTCACCGAGAGCTCCAAGGTGTCGGTATTACTGCCATTTACCCTGGTTTTGCTACTTACTGTGATCTCTATCACACCGCCTCTGGTCGCTTCCTTCTGCGCATCCCCCTCTGTCCTCGCACTCGCCTTTGCACGCTCCGCACACCCCGTCCCTCTTTCTGTCATGTTACCACTTGTGCTGGTACTTCCACCGGTCCTCCTCCCCCTCTCCCTCCCCCTCCGGTATCCTCCTCCCCCACTTCACCCCCCTCCTCCTCCCTCCCCACCTCTTCTCCCGATGTGAGCTGTGTTATGCGAGCTGTCCGCTGCAAGCTGTTACTGCAGGGTGCACACAGGATGTGATAGCAGAGAGCAGACAGAGAATCATCGCGATGCATTCAAATAGCAGAGGTGGCAGTTTGTTTGGAGTAGTTTGGCTCGGATGGAGGAGGCTGCAATGCAACCACGTTGTCAACATGCTGTGGGGTGCAAAAAGGCGTCCATGCAATGCATCAGCCAATGTCAACGGACTAAAGGCCATCTGTTTCTTTAGTCGCTTTCAGTAAATTACGAACTGAACACGAAATGAGATGTTTCCGTCCATACCATACATGCCGCTTTTTTCAGAGAAATCCCACCATTGCAATCAACCGACAGAAATGCAACCAATCTCTTGTGTGTGTAGACAGGAAGCAGCACCGCAACCCTATCGTACAGTATGGCACTCCAATGGCATGCAGTGACCGCCCAAATCCAGTTAGAAAATGCCAGCACCCACGTGCATTTATCCTACAGTCAAGCGATCCATCACATGCAATGCGTTCATGTCAGCAGCACAGTGATTATTACCCAACGCCAGTCACAAGCTGCTGGTACCACCACCACCACCACCACCCACATGCATCGCCCGGGCAAGCTCCGCATCAAAGTCAGCACCGCCAGCAACGCTCTCTATCTCCCTGTCGATGCGCACCGCAGCCCGGTCCACCTCCCGCCCCGCCACCTCCTGCTGATCACCCAATTCCAGTCAGGAACTGCTGGTACCACCAACACCACCACCCACGTGCATGGCCCGGGCAAGCTCCGCATCAAAGTCAGCAGCGCCAGCAACGCCCTCTATCTCCCTGTCAATGCGCACAGCAGCCCGGTCCACCTCCCGCCCCGCCACCTCCTGCTCCATAGCCTGCAGCTGCCCCACAACCTGCGCCATGGTGGGGACGTGATAAAAGAGTTGTTTTGAGACGTCTCAAAACAGCAGCCCGGTCCACCTCCCTTCCCGCCACCTCCTGCTGCATGGCCTGCAGCTGCCCCACTACCTGCGCCATGGTGGGGCGCGAGGCGGTGGGCATGGCCGTGCAGGCGAGGGCAAGGCGGGCCAGATGCAGCAGCAGGTCGTCTGGGGCGAGCAGATGAGGGTCCTTGAAGGCTGCTACGGTGTTGGATGCCACTAGTGGCGCCACCTGGGAGTGGTTAGGGCGAAGTGTGGGGGTTATGGGGCTCATGAGTGGAAGGCAAGGGAGAGGCAATTCAGGCGCACCAGCAGGTCCTGTGGGGCGAGCAGATGAGGTTCTTTGAGGCTGCCTTGGTGTTGGGTGATGCTAGTGGTGCCACCTGGGTGGGATATGAGGGGGAAATTTGAGTCGACTCAAACTTCACCTCAGGCGCTGTAGCAGGTCATGAAGGCCTAAGAAGAAGAGGGTTCTTGAAGGCTACTACAGTGCTGGATGCCACTAGTGGCGCCATCTGGAGGGGCTGATTGTGGGAGGCGTGGGGGTTATGGGCACGCGAAGACTTTTGAGTTGACACTATAGTCATATCGTCCGGTGCGACCAAATGAGGGTCCTTGAACGATGGTACAGCGATGTTGGGTGGTGCTAGCAGAGCCACCTGGGAGGGGGTGAAGGGGGGTTTGAATCGACTGAGAAGTCACCTCAGGTCGTCTAGGGTGGCCAGGTGAGGGTCCTTGAAGGCTGGCAAGGCAAGGTGAGTGCAAGGCAAGGTGAGTGCAAGGCAAGGTGAGTGCAAGGCAAGGTGAGTGCAAGGCAGGGTGAGGGCAAGGCAAGGTGAGGGCAAGGCAGGGTGAGGGCAAGGCAAGGTGAGGGCAAGGCAGGGTGAGGGCAAGGCAAGGTGAGTGCAAGGCAAGGTGAGTGCAAGGCAAGGTGAGTGCAAGGCAGGGTGAGGGCAAGGCAAGGTGAGGGCAAGGCAGGGTGAGGGCAAGGCAAGGTGAGGGCAAGGCAGGGTGAGGGCAAGGCAAGGTGAGGGCAAGGCAGGGTGAGGGCAAGGCAGGGTGAGGGCAAGGTGAGGGCAAGGCAAGGTGAGTGCAAGGCAAGGTGAGTGCAAGGCAAGGTGAGTGCAAGGCAAGGTGAGTGCAAGGCAAGGTGAGTGCAAGGCAAGGTGAGTGCAAGGCAGGGTGAGGGCAAGGCAAGGTGAGGGCAAGGCAGGGTGAGGGCAAGGCAAGGTGAGGGCAAGGCAGGGTGAGGGCAAGGCAAGGTGAGGGCAAGGCAAGGTGAGGGCAAGGCAAGGTGAGGGCAAGGCAGGGTGAGGGCAAGGCAAGGTGAGGGCAAGGCAAGGTGAGGGCAAGGCAGGGTGAGGGCAAGGCAGGGTGAGGGCAAGGTGAGGGCAAGGCAAGGTGAGGGCAAGGCAAGGTGAGGGCAAGGCGAGGTGAGTCCAAGGCGAGGTGGGAGCAAGGCGAGGTGAGTGCAAGGCGAGGTGAGTGCAAGGCAAGGTGAGTGCAAGGCGAGGTGAGTGGCCGCATCTTTGGAACACAGGCATCTCTCGAGGCGAGATGAGGATGCTTGGTGCCCAAGATTGTATTTCAGGCAACAGTGGGGTGGGGCTGTGCTTGCTGTGAGAAAACAAGTAGAGCAGAGGTAAACTAGGGTCGTGTTGAAGGGAAAGGGGGAATGGCGTGAGAAATTTTATGATTTCGGAATGGAGCAAGTGGGAGGGATGGCACGCACATAGCCACACCACAGCACATAGTCGCACCACAGCACATAGCTGCACCACAGCACATAGCCGCACCACAGCACATAGCCGTGCCACAGCACATAGCATAGCCGCACTACAGCACATAGCTGCACTACAGCACATAGCTGCACCACAGCACATAGCTGCACTACAGCACATAGCTGCACCACAGCACATAGCTGCACCACAGCACATAGCTGCACTACAGCACATAGCTGCACTACAGCACATAGCTGCACTACAGCACATAGCTGCACTACAGCACATAGCTGCACCACAGCACATAGCTGCACCACAGCACATAGCTGCACTACAGCACATAGCTGCACTACAGCACATAGCTGCACTACAGCACATAGCTGCACCACAGCACATAGTTGCACCACAGCACATAGCCGCACCACAGCACATAGCTGCACCACAGCACATAGCTGCACGACAGCACATAGCTGCACTACAGCACATAGCTGCACCACAGCACATAGCTGCACTACAGCACATAGCTGCACCACAGCACATAGCTGCACCACAGCACATAGCTGCACCACAGCACATAGCTGCACTACAGCACATAGCTGCACTACAGCACATAGCTGCACTACAGCACATAGCTGCACTACAGCACATAGCTGCACTACAGCACATAGCTGCACCACAGCACATAGCTGCACTACAGCACATAGCTGCACTACAGCACATAGCTGCACCACAGCACATAGCTGCACTACAGCACATAGCTGCACTACAGCACATAGCTGCACCACAGCACATAGCTGCACCACAGCACATAGCTGCACCACAGCACATAGCTGCACTACAGCACATAGCTGCACTAAAGCACATAGCTGCACTACAGCACATAGCTGCACTACAGCACATAGCTGCACCACAGCACATAGCTGCACCACAGCACATAGCTGCACTACAGCACATAGCTGCACTACAGCACATAGCTGCACTACAGCACATAGCTGCACCACAGCACATAGCTGCACTACAGCACATAGCTGCACCACAGCACATAGCTGCACTACAGCACATAGCTGCACCACAGCACATAGCCGCACCACAGCACATAGCTGCACTACAGCACATAGCTGCACTACAGCACATAGCTGCACCACAGCACATAGCTGCACCACAGCACATAGCTGCACTACAGCACATAGCTGCACCACAGCACATAGCTGCACTACAGCACATAGCTGCACCACAGCACATAGCTGCACTACAGCACATAGCTGCACCACAGCACATAGCCGCACCACAGCACATAGCTGCACTACAGCACATAGCTGCACTACAGCACATAGCTGCACCACAGCACATAGCTGCACCACAGCACATAGCTGCACTACAGCACATAGCTGCACCACAGCACATAGCTGCACTACAGCACATAGCTGCACTACAGCACATAGCTGCACTACAGCACATAGCTGCACTACAGCACATAGCTGCACTACAGCACATAGCTGCACCACAGCACATAGCTGCACCACAGCACATAGTCTCCTCGTGCCAAGTCCTTCAGTCAGGTTATTCGAATATCCTCAAAGGATTCTCACTAGCAAATAAAAAAACATTCAAAAATATTCCTCTAGTTGACCTGATAGTTGCTGTTGAGAATTCTCAACAGGGACTACCGTACCCAGTTCTTCAGGTTGATCTGACTGTCCTCTGTCACGTAGATGGGCTTGCGTGCCGTGATGACCACCAGGACCAACATGCCGAAGCTGCCACAACAAACATGGAAATGGGCCATGAGAGAAGTCTTTGGCATGTGATGGAGATATGTGGCATGTGATGGAGATATGTGGCATGTGATGGAGATATGTGGCATGTGATGGAGATATGTGGCATGTGACGGAGATATGTGGCATGTGACGGACCCTCGAAATGATCCTGAGAATTGGTAGGAAATGCCCCATCATCAAGGCAGCTTGGCTCGGATATATGGCCAGCATCATCTATTGAGCTCGGATATATAGGCGGCATCATCTAGGCACCTCAGATATATGGATGGCATCATTTAGACACCTTAAATTATGGGTGACATCATCTAGGCAACTCAGATGTATGGGCGGCATCATCTAGACACCTTGGATATATAGGCGGCATCATCTAAGCATCTCGGACATATGGATGGCATCATCTAGACACCTTAAATTATGGGCGGCAACATCTAGGCACCTCGTATTTATGGGCGGCATCTTCTAGACACCTTGGATATATCGGAGGCATCATCTGTTATATATGGGCGGCATCATCTAGGCAGCTCATGAACAGGACAGCCTGCCATGACCTCGCTGTTTCACACCTTACCTGCGCACGTCTATTGCGGGAGTGGCCTTGTGAGACATATAGCCCGGTGTGCCCATCATCCTTGTGCACCGCACTGTACCTGTGCACGTCGGCAGCTGGAGTGGCCTTGTGTGACATGTAGTAAGCAGGGTCCACATATCCCGGTGTGCCCATCACTCGAGTCGCTGCCACCGAGGTGCCCTCCCCAAGCCTCAGAAGCCCAAAGTCCGCCACCTTAGCCTGCACACATACCGGTTGTGATCAGAGGCTTTATTACTGAGTGCTGGAGCACACCTGTTGAGCTGAGTGGTCAACTTCTCCTGCATATCTGATAGATAATTGATGGATAACTGATGGATTGGTGAATTAGGGAAAATGGATTGATGGAAGTGCTGTTGCAAGTGAGACAACAATATTCTGATGCCTTCACTGTTTTGTCACAATCCCTTCATTCCCTACCTCCATCACTCGTGGCATTACAGGGAACTCATGTGTAGATCAGGTTCCAAATATATGATAGCTCTGTGCATACGTGCATATGACTCAGGCTAGCTAGCTAGCTCCGCCGACAAAGAAAGCCGGTCAAGGTGGCAAGTGCAGGCCACACATGTTTCATGAGACGGTTTTTAGGGAACCTGGGAAGTACCTGCATCTTGGCATTGAGGAGCACGTTGGCAGGCTTGATGTCACGGTGCACGATGCCAAAGTCATGCAGGTACTGCAACCCCTTGCCCACCCCTATGAGTATGTCCAGGCGCTGCACCAGCGACAGAGGCTTGGAGGCTCCTGCACGAGGAAACAACAAAAGCAATCAAAGCGAGAGAAAGCCATGTTTTCCTCGTGTAACTTGTGGCTTAGCTTCCAAGCTCTAGCGAGGTAATAGGGAGGGGCGGGCCACGATGCATTCATGCAATCATGAGGACGTGTCCATTGTAAACCAGGTACAGAGGGGGTACGTTTCTTTACTTTCTACTCTCCTCCCCAACAAAGACACCCCCCTGCTCCTAGCTGTGCTTGACCTTGTTCCGTGTACTGATCGGGAGATGCACTGCAGCATGCTATCCACGGGTTGTGAATAAGACCCCCCAATTTCTACTGAGCAGGTAACTTACATTGATCCAAAAGAGAATAGGATGGGATGGCGCCATACTTATATTGATAAAATCAAGCAACCACTTGACTTGAACCACGTGATTAACTGGTCCAATCCACGTCATCACCTGGCCCAATCCAAATCATCACTACTTCCAGGTCGCCATTTTCCATGAACTCATACGCCAAGATCTGCTCCATGTGCCCTGTCACTGCATCATAGTCATTCCAAAACTGACTTTTGAGCCGACTCAAAAGTCAGCTCGTTACAATGGCAGACAACACTCCTCGTTACAATGGCAGACAACACTCCTCGTTACAATGGCAGACAACACTCGTTACAATGGCAGACAACACTCCTCGTTACAATGGCAGACAACACTCCTCGTTACAATGGCAGACAACACTCCTCGTTACAATGGCAGACAACACTCGTTACAATGGCACAGGACACTCTTTGAGCCGACTCAGTCATCACCTGGTCCAATCCATGCCTCCAGGTCGCCATTCTCCATGAACTCGTACACTGAAATCTTCTCCATATGAATACCCAGTAAGAACCGTGTAATTGCCTGGTCCACACCGTGTGATTACCTTGTCCCAACCCTGTGCTACAAACCCTTACCTGGTCCGAACAGTGCGATTACCCGGTCCAAACCATGTGATTACCCAGTCAAAACCAACCAACTTCCGGACCAAACCATGTGATAACCATGTCCTAACCACATATCATCACCTCATCCAATCCAGGCCTCAAGGTCGCCGCTCTCCATACACCAAGATCCGCTCCATGTGCCCCGTCGCATCACAATCCTTGCAGAATTGATTCATGAGCCGACTTAAAATTCACCTCGTGACAATGGCACACTACAGTGTTTGAGTTGACTCAATACTCACCTGGTCCAATCCCAACATCACCTGGTCCAATCCACGCCTCCAGGTCGCCATTCTCCATGAACTCGTACACCAGGATCTGCTCCATGTGCCCCGTCGCTGCATCATAGTCCTTGCAGAACCCCAGCAGCCGCACCAGATTGAGGTGGTTCTTTGTCGCCATCTCCCGCACCTACCATGGCAGACAGGAGATTCATTGGCACACGGGAACAGCAACAGAGCGTTGCTTGTGTATCAGTGAAGCAGGGCAGAGGCATGCAGGAATATATTCATCGAAGTGCCGCAGGCACAGGGGTGAAGCCACAAACACCAACAAAAGCATGACCACTTCTGAAACTTCCAGTAAGCACACACGCACAAATGCTATGTTTACATACATCTGCTATGGTCTGAAAAACAACAAAAAACAAAAAAAAACAGAGTTAAGTGAAGACGTGCATACCTCCCTTTGGAAGTTTGTTGGTTACAAGCTTGGCTCGCCTTTGGAAGGTTTAGGGAATGTTTCTTCTTGAGGGCTTAGGAGCACCTACAATTGACCCCAAAACAGATGCTTTCAAGATAATCAGGTGGTTCAACAGCATAGTTATGCGTACCTCCCTCTGGAAGTCGTTGGTCAGAACCCTGGCTCGCTTCACAGCCCACAGCTCATTCGGATCGTATGGAGACACTCCCTTGTACACATCTCCAAAGCTCCCACTCCCAATCCTGTTGCCCTCCGCCCATTGGTTCGTCGCTCGTGCCAGCTCATCCAGTGAATACTCCCGACACACATTGCCCCACGCAGCTTCCATTGCTATAGCATGTGATCCCTGTCCCGCTGCGCCTCCTGCTGCTGCTGCCACGGTTGCTGCTGCTACCGATGCTTGGACTGCTTCTGTGCCTGCAATAGCAGGAACAATATAGGATCGGAAGCCCTTCAAGCTTGTTGAGACTGTGGCTGAAAACAGGCTTCAATAAAGCGCAACGTAAGTGGCCAGAATTTGCTGGAAACGATTCAGCAAGCTGGAGAGTGAAGCACAGCAATACACGATCCACAAAGAAATGTAGCATATGACCATGATGGGGCCACCATGTGGGCCACACCATGTGGCCACAGGCGAGCTTCCTACACGTTCATATGGAAGCAATGCAGCTTCTACGCCAACTCACCTGTCCTGTGGCCGTCCGGTCAACCCACCAGTGGCCTACAGGTCAACCCACCAGTGCCCTACAGGTCAACCCACCAGTGGCCTACAGGTCAACTCACCAGTGGCCTACAGGTCAACCCATCAGTGGCCTACAGGTCAACCCACCAGTGGCCTATAGGTCAACCCACCAGTGGCCTACAGGTCAACCCACCAGTGGCCTACAGGTCAACCCACCAGTCTCCTACAGGTCAACCCACCAGTGGCCTACATTTCAACCCACCAGTGGCCTACAGGTCAACCCACCAGTGGCCTACAGGTCAACCTACCAGTCTCCTACAGGTCAACCCACCAGTGGCCTACAGGTCAACCCACCAGTGGCCTACAGGTCAACCCACCAGTGGCCTACAGGTCAACCCACCAGTGGCCTACAGGTCAACCCACCAGTGGCCTACAGGTCAACGCACCAGTGGCCAACAGGTCAACCCACCAGTGGCCTACAGGTCAACCCACCAGTGGCCTACAGGTCAACACACCAGTGGCCTACAGGTCAACCCACCAGTGGCCTACAGATCAACCCACCAGTCTCCTACAGGTCAACCCACCAGTGGCCTACAGGTCCACCCACCAGTGGCCTACAGGTCAACCCACCAGTGGCCTACAGGTCAACCCACCAGTCTCCTACAGGTCAACCCACCAGTGGCCTACAGGTCAACCCACCAGTGGCCTACAGGTCAACCCACCAGTGACCTTTCTGCTAGCGCACCTGGATCGCCTGTCTTCTTGGCTGCCTTGTGCCTCCGCTAGCGGAGCAGGAACCAGACCACGAGCAGCAGCAGCAGCAGCGCAACGACCGCCAAAGCCGCAATGGCAATGATGGCTCCCGTCGATAAGCTGCCTCCTCCACCGGCCCCCCCTCCAGAGGCAGGTGTGGACGACGAGGAATAGGATGGTGAGGATGAGGAAGCAGATGAGGAGGAAGTGGATGGGGAGGAAGTGGATGGGGGTGAAGTGGATGGGGGGGAAGTGGATGGGGGGGATGGTGAAAGTGGAGGAGAGGTAGGTGGAAGAAGAACAGGAGGTGAAAGAGAGGGTGGGGCGATGGAAGGAGGCAATGGGGGGCTTGAGGGGGGCGCTGGATGGGATGTGGTTGGGAGCACAATGGATGGGCGGGGTGGATAATAAGGTGATCAAGTTCAAGAAAGATTTGTTGCCATCATGAACATGGTATTGCCTGCCTACCACTTCGCTGTGCATGAAGTCTGTTTTACAAAGAGTACATGGTTGTTTGAGCGGCGGTCCTCTATCTCTGGAATCATCACCCCACTATTTAGTGGTGTACCAGTGATTGTAGTCACTTATGGAAATTCCATAAAGGATCCACTCAAACCAGAGATTTGTTAAAGATCATGCCACAATATAGATGTGTATACCATAGTAGTACTAGTTGCATCAAATGGTAGTGTTATAGTAATCACAATAGTGACAATAATGGTAATAACAATCTAATGTTGGTAATCATAACTATCATAATCAATCAGGCACCTCGGAAAGGGTACAACAACTCACCCACTGGCGCATAGCACGTTTCACAGAAGGACGTGCAAGCGTTGCAGAAGGCGCCTGCCGTGTTCTGAGTTACAACGCAGCTGCTGCTGTCAGCTGGGCAGGTGAGGTTCGTGTTATTGAATTCACTGCGAGCGATGAGCAACCAGGGGGGCTCAGGTCAGTCAGATAATGCTTGCGGGACCTGAAAGGCTTGGGTTGATGAGATTTCGTCAAGAAACCCCATTTGTAACGGAAAACATCATTTGAGATTAGTACCACGATTGATTTATGTGGGAACAAGCTGATTATATCAATGCTACGAACCCACCCGCCACCCACAGTAGCGGATACAGTGAAGGATGGAAAGGGAAAACCTTACAAGTATGTCAGTTTCTGTAGACCACCTACAGTTGCTGGAATAGGCCCTTCCAAGTTGTTGTAGTAGAGGTGCCTGCGCTAATCCAACCAAATGAATGATGAAATTCCGTCACTAACACACTTGGTGGTGGAGTTTTTTTGTGACATGTTTCTCCTCAACATCTCTTGCTTTCAAAACGAATGGATCGGAACAGCATTGATTATAGAAACAGCACGGGACAAATGGATGGAAAAAAAAAGAACAAACACAAAAAAGAGGAAAGATTTAAAAGGGTAAAATACAGGACAACTGATCAAAACGAATATGAAAATCGCACAGAGTACTACTCTGAGTAGAACAGGCCCATCAAATGGACACATTCAGTGTTGACGAGCTTGCATTGTAAGAGCACATTCCAATACAAATGGTACATGTTTTCGCCATAGGAAAGATTACAATGCATGCGTGCATGACACATACCACATCAACGCGCAACGCTCCATCAATGAATCATATCCATAAGGCCAGGAAGATTACAGTTCAACCAGCTGGTTTTTTAGAATACTCAGAAACCATCTTGTTACCCTAAGGCCAGGATGATTACAGTTGAACCAGGTTGACGAGGTTGCTGACAGAGGTGGAGATGGAGCCGGTCAACGGGTTGCCGCATAAGCCGCTGGTATGGGGGAAAATCGGAATTCGCATTGGTTGCATTGCATTGCCTTAATGCATGATAGAAGTTGACACTGGATGAACGGATGCAGGGAAGCATGGATGTGTAAGCGCGCGTTTTCAGGCTTAGATATGTTGACTATGGTTTCAGGTAACCCAAATTTGTACGGGCAGTAAGCATGCACCGCCATGGGTTCAAGCAAAATATATATAGGGGCATAGCAATCAGCCGGGGATAGATCTACGATTATACATGCAGAGCAACTGTTACTGAAAATGTATAGACAATGCATAGATTCAACAGAACTGTTTGTGATTGCCCAAATCAACGAAGTGGCAGCAACAACAGAAGTGAATGATACAATGAAATAATGGAAGAAATGGCATGCTTGGAAGAGGTAAGGCGAACTAACAGTGTTGTGAGTTTAGTGAGGGTCCATATTGTCTCTGGAATAGTTCCACCCAAAAGGTTTTCAGGCAATGACCTTGAAGGAGAGAAGGGGGAAGCACGTGAGAAGGATAGAGCAGGAACTCAGAAAGATTTGGGAACATCAGTCATTAGAATAATCACTGAAGTCTAGCCTCCTCTTTTTACCAAATATATACTATACTAGGATACAACAATATGTATGTGAAGTTCCAAACCAGACACACACCAGCGTATCGTGCACTACAAGACAAAGTCGTCAGTGGCTACAGGACAAGCTGCCAGTGGCTACAGGACAAGCTGCCAGTGGCTACAGGACAAGCTGCCAGTGGCTACAGGACAAGCTGCCAGTGGCTACAGGACAAGCTGCCAGTGGCTACAGGACAAGCTGCCAGTGGCTACAGATAAAGAGAAGTACGAAACGAGAGTGAATGGGAATGGGACCAGCGCCACAGATAGAGTCGCATTCTTTGGACATGAATGCTTGCAGCGCAATGCTTGAAACCACCAACCGCTCACGGTTGGCAAACCAGGCGCGCGCTGTAGCGCCCGCAGTACAGATAGTACTACAGCTGGAATCTAGTCATGTTGTATAGAAAAACGTTTTTCCTTGAATCTAGGGGACGATTTTTCCCCAGATACAACCATTGATTGATGAACATAAGGCTAGATGCCTTACAAATATTCCAGGTTGACAAGGTTACCAATGGATGATGAAAGGGGTCCGCTGAACCAGTTGCCGTAGAAGTTGCTGTTGAGTGGAAGAAGATAATATAATTGTCACAAACATTTTCATATATAATATAATATAAGTCCTTGCATCACAACCCCTCCCCCTTCCCCCCCTCCCTCCCCCCCCCCCCCCAAAAAAAAGAAAGAAGCGATTGCAGCACCAATTTATACGTTCAAGAAGAGTATCTGTTATTACTGGAATATATCCTGACTTAAGTGCTGGCATGGTATGTTACAAACACTCGAGGCATGAAAGTAGACACAAAACAGCCACTTACATCTTGGATAGCTTCGTAAGATTCCAGAGAGTTTCTGGAATGGTGCTGCCAAACCTATTTTTCCATAATCCTCTGCTCTCCGCTCATTATGCGAGGAAGCGGGAGAGGAGGGGGGATTGGAAAAGTGACCACACAGGATGTTTGAAAAATGGTTTCGTACAGTAAGGATAATAGAGCATGCAATGGGCATCCCAATCTCTCCTCACGCGGTTGATTGAAGGCATTAAAACTCCTCACATTGACGCACTACATTGCCCTTTAACTCGTGCATACATCCACGTCCACTTTGGCTCTATATTGAAAACCGCTTTTGAGGTTTTGCAAAAGTAATGGAGTTGGTTTTGGGAATTTATTTAACAAGAGTGGACTAGATTTTGAGGATAATCAACAGCATTTCCGATTCACCACATCCACCTTCACGGATGCACAACGCCCACTCAGAGGCACTACATCCACCTCCTTAGCATCAAGGACTGTATGAGCATGTAGTTCTTCTCGCACGGTATGCTGTAGTCTTTCACGCATGGTATGCTGTAGTCCTTCACGCATGGTATGCTGTAGTCCTGCCTGAAGAACGACAGCGTACCATATCGTGCAGCAGCAGCAAGGCGGCTTTTGAGTAACTACAAAAGTCGCCTCAAAGACCATTCAGCATGATGAATTACAGCGCACCATTTCATGATGCAGCAGCACACTCTCTCTCTCGCTTGGCGCGCGCGCACACACACACGTGCACACACACACACGCGCACACACACACATACATACACACACACAGACGCACACACACACACGCATGGACGCTCGCACACACACACACACACACATCACACTCACGCACAATCACACACACACATCACACTCTCTCTCTCTCTCTCTCTCTCTCACATACACACACACACACATACACACGCACACACACACACACATACACACACACACACACACACACATACAGTACAGTCAAGTTGGTGAGGCTTCCTATGGACGTTGACAAGGGGCCAGAAAAGGAGTTGTTCTCGATGCCTCTGACAGTACCATGCGTTGGTTGTTGGCGCAAGCAAGGCGTGAGAGCAAAGGCACACACGTGCATGAGAGCAAAGGCACACACGTGCATGAGAGCAAAGGCACACACGTGCATGAGAGCAAAGGCACAAACGTCCATGAGAGCAATGGCACACACGTGCATGAGAGCAAAGGCACACACGTGCATTAGAGCAGAGGCACACACGTGCATGAGCAACGGCACACACGTGCATGAGGTACTGTGCTGTTCTTTGGTGTATTGGAACTGTGCCATAACACTAAGGGAGAATGCTAACTGACAGGATGGCATAACAAGCACCGACACGTCAGCGTTACACGCAGTGGGGAGTCGGCATGCTGATTTCAAATGATATTGGATGAGAATCTTATACAGTGTCACATGTAACAATCAGAGCGACTGATATGAAACGGCAACTGACATGCAAGAAAGATTGTACAGGTTCCACAGAGGCTCCGGAATGGATCCATTGATAAGGTTGCAACCAAGGAGCCTGGTGGTGGGTAAGGGAACAGCAGGGCACATGAATTTGGGGAATAACGGGTCATAACATGCGGGCAATAACGGGTCATAACATGCGGGCAATAACGGGTCATAACATGTGGGGAATAACGGGTCAGAACATGTGGGGAATAACGGGTCATAACATGTGGAGAATAACGGGTCATAACATGCGTGTGATCATCACGGATGGACTTCACATGAGCCGATGTGTCGAATCACACATCAAACTCATGAAGTGAACCAAAAGCCACCTCTGATTGGGTCACTTCATGAAGAGAGCGGGCCACTCACACGCTGGTGATCATCCCAAATGCATCGCATGTGAGCCCATGCGCCAGATCGCAATCACCTCCTGCCACCCAGTTGCTGAAGTTCTTTCCCCACTCCACCTGGCACTCTTCTAGAGCCGTCACTGCCAAGGATGGGAACAAAGAAGGGTTGAGGTTCACGTGCTTTTAGGTGTTTTTGTTTTTGCTTTTTTTTTTTTCGCAAAACCTAAGGAGGGAACAAAGATTGATGCCCATGTGCTTCTTGTTCTCTTTTCTGGCCTTTTCTGGCTGTAAACTGGCTTGCATCCACCTGCTTCGCTTTTCAATTCCACTAAAAAAATTGCCTGATTCGCCACTAAAAGCTGTCAAAAAGGTAAGAGCATGGCTCCTCTTTTGCTCCTTGGCCTGGTTACTTCGATCCAGCCATGCATTTCGTCTCCACCAAAAAGCCGGGGTGTCACACCTGGTGAGGCCAAACCTCCTGTCTATGCTTAGAGTGGTTCAAAACACACCTGGTGGTGAGACCAACCTCTGCTTGAACACACCTGGTGAGGCCAACCTCTGTCTGAACACACCTGGTGAGGCCAACCTCTGTCTGAACACACCTGGTGAGGCCAACCTCTGTCTGAACACACCTGGTGAGGCCAACCTCTGTCTGAACACACCTGGTGAGGCCAACCTCTGTCTGAACACACCTGGTGAGGCCAACCTCTGTCTGAACACACCTGGTGAGGCCAACCTCTGTCTGAACACACCTGGTGAGGCCAACCTCTGTCTGAACACACCTGGTGAGGCCAACCTCTGTCTGAACACACCTGGTGAGGCCAACTTCTGTCTGAACACACCTGGTGAGGCCAACCTCTGTCTGAACACACCTGGTGAGGCCAACCTCTGTCTGAACACACCTGGTGAGGCCAACCTCTGTCTGAACACACCTGGTGAGGCCAACCTCTGTCTGAACACACAGGTGAGGCCAACCTCTGTCTGAACACACAGGTGAGGCCAACCTCTGTCTGAACACACCTGGTGAGGCCAACCTCTGTCTGAACACACAGGTGAGGCCAACCTCTGTCTGAACACACCTGGTGAGGCCAACCTCTGTCTGAACACACAGGTGAGGCCAACCTCTGTCTGAACACACAGGTGAGGCCAACCTCTGTCTGAACACACCTGGTGAGGCCAACCTCTGTCTGAACACACAGGTGAGGCCAACCTCGGTCTGAACACACTTCTGCCTTAACACACCTAGTGCTTCCTTTCTTGCGATTGAACACCATCAAGCGCGAGCAACCTTGCGCTCTCTTTCAGGTTTGGTCCTCGTTTTCAGTACTATAGGTGACCCATACTTCAGGGGTGAACCATTGTCGGCTCCCACAGTGATGCTTTCTTGTTTTCTTTTTTTTAGGCGTGGGAAAGCAGAGTTGAAGCCTCGTCTGGCAGCGAAATCTCTGTTAAAACTCATTCAAACTCTCTAAACCACTCGTCTTTTTCGGATCCAGCCAGGCCATCCGAACGTGTTCGCAGCTGCTTCGCGCACTGGGATGTTGTTGAAGCGTGACCTTTTTGTCACAGATTTGTCCTAGATGGGTGTGACATACCGTCACTTCGACTATGGGAGATGTTTTGTATGAATTCAGTGACTTTCTTTTGTGCTTTTCGTAGAAAAATCTACGGGGGAAAAATTTTTGCGTTTGCCTTTTCCGGGATGTTAACAAATGTTCATGTTTTGTGAAAGCAGAACAGCGTGATAGTCATAGGCTATGGTGTGAGAGGTCGGCGGACCTTGAGAGGGGTCGAATACGACAGATGCGGTGAGACGGAAACACTGGACGAGACACGTCAGCCACAGGAGCGCGACGACCTTCGCGGGAAGACATTTGGCACAATCCATCTCATCAACTCGTGCTTGAAATTGCATGCAGCAATGAATTACCAATAGCCGGCTACTAATATTCTTTGAAGCGCAAAAAGAGCTTCGCACTAGGACTACAGGGCGCAACTAACGCGGGGAAGAGCTTTGTGAAAGAGAGGACACGAAGCCAGACATCCGTGATAAACTGGGAATGAAGATTTGTTGCTTGTTCTTGTTCTGGTATCATATGTAAGAGGGTGACGTTAGGGCGACGTCAGGTTGTACAACTTTTTGTACGCCCTCTCCGGTAAATTTCGTTTCAGCACGGTGAAGCGCGGTAATAGACAAGAACCGCTTTTCACCGTGTTGAACCGTCCTGAACCACGATACAGGAACTGTAAGCGCGTGTGAAATGTATAACCTGACTTCGCCCTCAGGACGCGTCACCTCCCTCGATCGATCGTGCAAAATCGAGGAAGATCGATCGTCCACCGCACTAAAATCCCGCGTGTTGCATTTAAATTTGTCTGAAAACTTTTTGAACCGAATAAAAAATCGAACGAGGCAGGTGACGCGTCACGACTTCGATGTGAACACTGCGGTCAACTTCGTTTTCACACGGCTTAAAATGGTAAACTCGGAGAACCGCATTTCACCGTGCGGAACCGTCTTGAGCCACGATTCAAGAAATGTAAATGTGCAAGAATTTCCCTGAACGCAAATGCACCATCCGTTTTGCCTTGGAACACATGGATGCTTTGTTGCTTGGCAGAATGGACGGAATGTGTTTGACCACGCTGGACTCGTGACCATTGCGTTTGCTTTTGTTGATGCCACCTCTACGGTGAGCAGAATATACACATACGATAAATGTTACAGATGATGTTATGATCTCAAAAAACCTGCTTATAAAACACATTGACATTGCTATGTTTTTCTAGGCTAAGAGAAAACTTGGACTCTAGAAATCTTCAGGGAAGACTAATAGTACAAATATGACTAATCCGCGATTGCTACACTAAATCACAACTTTGTCCAAAATCTGTTTCTGGAGCAAAACTATCTAGTCTTGTTCTGACGTTAACCTCACAGTACATGATCGCAATGAAAATATGGATTCATAAATCTGAAAAAGGAGATTTTAAATTTGGGAAAACTACTGTGAGATATAAGAAGTTCTTTTTAGGTTATTGAACGATTTTCTACCTCAGAATCAGTATCTCTTAACGAATACACGCCATCCTTCAAAGAACGACTCCCTTCATACCAAATTACCTCCATCTACGAGAACGAGCACAGACCGCCTCTTAGCTGCTCTCGTCAAATCGCGGCCTTCACCAAGCGCCGTTCGGGCGATTAGCCTCGCGCATTCCTTCACTCGTCATGGTATGGTCACTCGCCATGATACGTTCACTCACCTTGTCCGCGCCACATCCCATGCGTTTCGAATCGACCGAATCACATGCGGCGTACCTTTGTAAACGTCTCATGCGTCTCGCCGTATTCGATGCCTCTCGCCGTAGTCATCTCGTACTATCATTCAAATCTTCTCTCATGCCTCACGCATCCCTCAGTTCTCCGCACTTTCTCCCTCACCCCGCCGCTTTGTCCCCTCATCCGCTCCGCCTTCCTTTTTCTCCACCTCGCGACCCTCGCCACTTCACCCGTCAACAGGCCCTCGACCGGGTCAACATGAGCAGCCAGCTGGAGCACATACAATCCAGCCTCGCCCACCCACATCCATTTCTCCTCAGTTTCCCTTTCCCTTTCCCTGTGATTATCACCAGGCGAGCGACCGTTTCAGCATAAGCAGCCAGCTGGAGCACATGCAGCTTAACCCACCGTCTCTTCCCCCGTGTTCCGCCCTTGCTCTCACCCCTCGCCCCTCACCCCTCGCCCCTCTCCCCTCGCCCCTCACCCCTCGCTCCTCTCCCCTCGCCCCTCTCCCCTCGCCTCTCTCCCCTCGCCCCTCACTCGGCCTCAGGCGAGCGATCGGTTCAACATCAGCAGCCAGTTGGAGCACATGCAGGCGAGATACGTGGGCACGGGACATGCTGACACCACCAAGTAGTGAGTGTGCTTCTAACGAGTGCCAAGTAGTGAGTGCGCTTCTAACGAGTACCAAGTAGTGAGTGCGCTTCTAACGAGCGCCAACATAACGCATGTGATTATGGCAAGACAGGGCTCTTATCGAGGCAGCGTTTAGAGTAGTAATAGACAGGAGCAGTGTTTTCGACATGAGCGGAGAGCAGCGAGCGAAGAGCAGGAGGCACTGAGTGGGTTGCAACTAATGGAGGAGCCATGCTTCTCCACCTGCCATAACGTCTCTGCCTGCCCTCCCATTTCCACCCCCGTTTGCCGCCTTCTCTTCCCATGGCGTGCAATGCCATGAGGGCTCAGTGAGCATCCACAGGGACAACAAACCCTGAGCCGCCAGCTATGTGACAGCAAATTCTGTGCCGCCAGCTATGTGGCAGCAAATTCTGTGCCGCCAGCTATGTGACAGCAAATTCTGTGCCGCCAGCTATGTGACAGCAAATTCTGTGCCGCCAGCTATGTGACAGCAAATTCTGAGCCGCCAGCTATGTGACAGCAAATTCTGTGCCGCCAGCTATGTGACAGCAAATTCTGTGCCGCCAGCTATGTGACAGCAAATTCTGTGCCGCCAGCTATGTGACAGCAAATTCTGTGCCGCCAGCTATGTGACAGCAAATTCTGTGCTGCCAGCTATGTGACAGCAAATTCTGTGCCGCCAGCTATGTGACAGCAAATTCTGTGCCGCCAGCTATGTGACAGCACATTCTGTGTCGTGCCCTCCGCCTCTCACTACCAACCAATCTGGCCCCTCGCTCCTCTCGTGTCCTCCGCCTATCTCTCCCTCCCACTCTCCGTCCCCCGGTCCCTCCCCTTTCTGACTCTTTGCCCCAGCTAGTGTGCAGTGAGCATTCAGCGAGTGAGTGTTTGCTAATTGCATTCGGGCAGATATGCGTCGCAGCGAGTGTGCAGTGAGCAGGGACAGCGAGTGTGCATCGAACAAACAGCTGTGCATCGAATAGCTGTGCATCGAATAGCTGTGCATCGAATAGCTGTGCATCGAATAGCTGTGCCCCCACGTGGGGTACCAACCCACCTGCTGCCGCCTTCTACTCCTCTTGCTCCGCCTGTGCTTGTTCCACAATCCCTCCCCCCTCTCCCCGGCGAGTGGGCAGCGAGCATCCACAGGGAGAGGTATGCACCACACGTGGGGCATCACACCACCCGCTTCCTGCCTTCTCTGCCTCTCGCTCCACCTATTTCCTTTTCCCCTTCCTCCCCCTCCCCGCCGCCCATTGTCTCCCCCCTCTACCCCTCTCCCCAGCGAGTGGGCAGTGAACATCCACCGGGAAAGCTACGCCTCCTACGTGGCGCATCACACCACCTGCTGCTTTTCGTGTTTGCCTCTCACCCCGCCTGTTCCCTTCTCCCATCCCTCATCCCCTCTGTCCCCAGCCCCTCGCGCTTCTACCCGCGAGTGAGGCATGAACATCCACAGGACAGCTACACCTCCTACTTGGGCCACCACACCACCTACCTCTGGCCCTCATTACCTCGCACTCCACCCATTTCCTTCTCTCCTCATCCCTCCTCTCCCCAGCGAGCGGGCGGTGAACATCCACAGGGACAGCTACGCCTCCTATGTGGGGCACCACCCGCTGCCAGCCTTCTTTGCGCCTCACTCCCCCTATGCTCCTCTCCCCCCGCCCCGTTTCCCTGCTCTCACCCCTGTGGCACGCAGTGAGATGAACATCCACCGGGACAGCTTTCTCTATTTTTGAGGCGCCTAAAAAATCCTCTCTCCACGCCCCCTTTCCCTGCTCTCACCCCTGTGGCATGCAGTGAGATGAACATCCACCGGGACAGCTATCCCTCCTACCTGGGCCACCATCCGCTGCTGGCATTTTTCTGGCTTTCACTCTGCCTGTCCCCCCCAACCCGATCCCCTTTCTCCCCCCTCTCCCCAGCGAGTGGGCGGTGAACATCCACAGGGACAGCTACGCCTCCTATGTGGGGCACCACCCGCTGCTGGCTTTCTTTGCCTCTCAAGCTGCCTTTGCCCTTCCCCACTCCTTCCTCCATGTTACCCTGTTGCTCCAGCGAGTGGGCGGTGAACATCCACAGGGACAGCTACGCCTCCTACGTGGGCCATCACCCGCTGCTGGCCTTCTTTGCCGTGGCGGAGAATGAGAGCATCGGCCGCGAGCGATACAACTTCATGCAGGTGATTGGTTGGGGGGGGGGGGTGGTTGTAGCAGGTGCGTGTAGTTGACACAGTAGCATGGTGGTATGCGAGGGATACAACTTGACGCAGGTGAGGAGAGGGATGATGTGGCTGGCTGGTGCTCTCACTTCACTTCACAGCTGCCGTTGTTGACATTGTTGAATTGGTCGCTCGCTCGCGAGCACCTGCAACTTCATGCAGGTGAATGGGGAGGGATTCTGTGCCATGTGTTTACTTTTGAGTCGACTCAAAATTCAGGACGCGGATAATGTGGCATGTGTTGTAAGGTGGTGCTGTTAGTGAGATTGTAGAATTGGTTTCGGCCGCTACAAACAACTTCATGCACGTGTTTCAAGGGATGCTGTGGCTGTCGCTGAGGGAGGTGCTGTAGGCGGTGCTGTGTCATTAGGCGCGAGCGACACAGAATTATGCAGGTTATCAGGGATGCGGGCTGGTGCTGTAGCATGGCGTGGTGCCATGGTGACATGATGGTATGGTGGCATGTGGGTATGGTGCCATGGTGTCATGATGGCATCATGACATGGTGCTATGATGACACAGTTGCGTGTGGGTGTGATGACATGATGACATGGTGCCCTGATGACACGGTTGCATGTGGGTATGATGGGATGACTCTCTCATTGCCAACATTCGCATCCCGCCTGAGATAGTTTCCTTTCAGCCACTTGTGAGAATGTGAAGTCACAACCCATGGGTGCATACCCGTTACTGGACATGCCCTTGGGCTTGTATAGTTAGTGCATTCTCATAAGAGGCCTACCTCGTAGCAAAGCATAGCATACCGTAGCAGGGCATAGTATGGTAGCTCCATGCTAGAGATTGCCTTAATTCTTACGCTCAACTCTGTTTTCCTCTCTTTGAGGTGTCTGTCTGTTATGTATATCCAACTCCCTTTTCTCTCTCTCTCTAATGCCCTTTCCTTCCCTGTGTCTTTTGAGTCGACTCAAAAGGCCTAGTTTCTCTCTTTGTGTCTGCTCCTTAGGTACGTCCACCTCAGTTTCCTTTCTTTATGATTCCCGTCCCTATCCCCTGCACTGCACTCCACTCGTCCATTTGTCCACTACACTCCCTCATTCACCTCCTCACCTCACCTCCATACCACACCATCACAGCGCATGCTGCTGCCATGTGGGCTGCCGCCAGACCGTGACGAGGAGTGAGGAGTGCGCTGCAATGGACCTGGGGGGCTCTCTGTAGTTATATTCCACCCTCTCATAGTTTGCAGTATCAAGTGCGGAAATAATGTACAGAAGCATGGAATAAGCAGGCAGTGACATCTTTCTCCCGCAAGCGTGTATTGCGTAAACACCTAGCAAAACAATCGTTCTTTTCTTAACAATATAATTATGGTTTACACCAGTAAAAACCTTGCAGCAGCACATTTCCTTGGGTACCACTTCTACCCGTTTGTGTGAGATTATGCAATGATTCTTATAAATATTAAGAGCGTACAAGCACACACGATCCACACGAGCAGGTCACACAATAGCGCGGACATATACCCAAGATCTGTCCTTCTGCACACCAGTACTACGTCTCCGCTTGCTGGTCGCAACAAGCATGGTCACAACCAGCAAGCGCAGACGCGGCTCTGGCATGGCAGGCGCACGGAGACATTAGGTAAGGAGCCGCAGCAAGTGGTGTGAAATGGCTGGCGAGATGACAACCTAGGATAGGAAGAAACACCCGTCTTAAAAAGAAAGCATTCGTTGACACATGCGCGGGAGGAAACAGCAACCGCACCAGACCCACGCCTCTTGTCCGGACGTCAGAAGACGACATCAGAAACATCAGCAGCGAATCAGAACGTTTGTTTTTTCATCACCGGCCGAAGGTGCGCGCGCGCGTAGTGGCTTTCGACTCGACTAAAAAAACCACCTCGGAGCCCGCGCCGAAACCGCGCGCGCGTTCTACGGCTGCTGCATGCGGTTGACGCCGTGCGCGACGACGAACTTGCCCTTGAACAGCGTCGCATCCACCACCACCGACCACTGGCGCCGCTTCTGCCCCTCCTGCCCCAGCGCGATCACCGCCCCGCGCGACTCCTTCACCGCCAGAACCCTGTCGTCGTGCATCGTCTTGAGAATCGCGCCGGCCTTGATATCCTCGATAGTGAGGTACCCGTCAAGCACGTTCATGAGGCCGAGGTCCTCGTACTGCGCGCCGTCGTCCTCGTTGGTGGGCAGCTTGCGCACGCCCGCGCCCACGATGGCGCCGTTGGTGGGCAGCAGCAGCGTCTTGTTCACCACGTCGCTGAAATCGAAGTTCTCGGGGAAATCGTCTGCGCGACGAACGGAAAATGAGATTGGAAAGGAAGGGGAGAAGCTTATGATGAGTAGGAAAGAGGAAAAATGGGAAGGGGAATGAGGGGTAACACGACGACTCTACTCGTCGAGCATGAATACGAGAAGATTAATTTCTCAAAGCCGAGTGCTATCGCTGACTCTGCTGATTGGCGCAGCAAAGCCAGCACGCGCGCGCGCAGGGAGGAATTCTCTCACGGGGATGGTCTCGTCTTGGGGGACAGCAGCACGGAGGCGACGCGGCGGATGAGCGCGTACTTGGGACCGTTGACATGGTCAAACGGGTATCTCTCCTTGGCGGTAAACGGACGGGGAAAACAACGTCTCACCTTGGCGAGCCAGCAGCGTGGAGGCGACGCGGCGGATGAGCGCGTACTTGGGGCGCAGCCTGAGCGCGCGCTTGAGCGCCTGCAGCTCCGCCACCACCTCCGCCTTGGGGGGGCTGGTTACCTGCGCCGCCGCCAGAGACGCCGCGGCCAGCAGCAGCACGAGCACTGGCAGTGCGAAGGATGGCTTACCCGCAGCCATTATACGCGTTATAAGGTGATTCAATACTAGCAGAGGGAAATGCTGGCCGAAACGAACGGAGGCGAATGTGGAGGATGGTCCCTAGAGTGAGCGGTGTGCTGGTTTTCAGAAATGACTCCAGTGAAGGGGAAAGGCGAAGGCGAGAGCTGATGAAGAACGGTCTGGCCATGGTTGCCTTTAATAGTAAGGTACTATTTCTGAAGTTGCTCTTGGCATGAACTGGTACGTGTTTTCGCCATGCCTGTGGAGTGCGATGTCGGATCGAGTGGAATCGGGTACCACCGCCACCACTTCGCGGCGCGCCTCCATACCTACTGTTGAGGTATGTATTTTTTTCTTTCGAGACGCGCTGAACAGAACAGCGGCGCACCACTGTGATGTGTTCCAGGGGAGCGAATGTTCGTAACGTAGGCTCGATAGATAAAGTCCAGTGCCTCGACCCAAGGGACTGTCCACAAGTGTAGGTACTACTGTCACTAGCTATGGTAGTTACTATACATCGAATGTCCTTCCCCAAGGCACTACCGTCAGGGCAGAACTCTGTTCGCCCTGTCCATCGCCCCGCGCGGGGGAGGAATTGCACCGCCGAAATTTCCTGTGGAAGTGGTGGTGGGCTGCCGCATGCCTAGAAACGAGGTGCCAGCTGGGCTGTGGAGTGGAGGTGGTAGCTTTCATTACGATGGTGTTTCTCTACAGTGTACAGAGAAATTTACACTAGGACATCTCACTCTTGCGAGATTATTGACAACCCTCTCAAGCATGGCTGATACTGGTAAAACAACCATGATTCAAGAAATATTCGACTGCAAGGCTGATGAGTGTGCTTTCTCCAATAGACTTTCATGGGACAGAAGACACATTGGGCGTAGATCAACAAAAAATAAACCCACTAGGACGGTCCTATACGAATGACCAGTCCCTCTTTCTACACGTGATTGTTGAGTGAACCAGCTGCAATACTGACGAAATGAACTGGAGTCAGCTAACAGCATCGTCCAGCTATCCCATACTGTATGGTGAGCAGGTTCTCCCACCAAGCCACATCTTCTAAGCGCCATCCCTCTCAAAACTCCAGGAGCTAAACTTGTCGACTTTCAAGCCGCGCCGCGCCTGAACCCACTTGCGTGTGAACCCAATCAAGCATCTGCAGCTGCTGGCTCCTTTTTGGAAGTATCCTCAAAGTTCTCCCCCTCAACAAGCTCTGGCACCTCGTCATCATCCTCAGCAGCGGCCCCAGCAGCAGCGGCAGCCTCACCTGCCTTCTGATACTCCTGAGCAATCTTCTTCAGTCCGGCCAAGTTATCAGGGCCTGAAAAACAGGAAGAGTGGGAGGGGGAGGGGGAAGCAGGGAAGGGGAGCGGGAGGAGGGTAGGGGGAGGGGAGGAGGGGGAGAGGAGTGGGTTGTGAACAAAGAGCACGACTATAATGCAGAAGCGAGAGAGAATGACGCGGGTCATCCTGTGTGTGCCAACTAACCCATGTACACCCTGAAATTCATTCCAATGCGCAATCACATTTACAAAAGGTCAACCTCCACTTACCAAGCTGGTTGATAATGCCAGGCAGCAATTCTTGGAGATCTGAAAGCAAAACAGAAGAACCAGACATTGCAGCCACATCCGTAAGGCCCGCGGAAGCAATGTGAAGCAATGTGCGTGTCCAAAAAAGACGGAAAACAACGGCAGGAATTGCATGAAAGGAGAACGTGCAACTTACTCTTCTCCCGAGGGACGCCACTGACAACCCATGTGTTTGCTCCGATGGAAGCTTGCACTGTAAGTGGATACATCGAACGAACGGGGACAGATTGCAAGGACCAAGAGTGTCAAAGGAAGTGGATACATCGAACGAACGGGGACAGATTGCAAGGACCAAGAGTGTCAAAGGTGGCTGGAACTGAGTACGAGGAACTTGAAATTAAGCACATAAAACCAGCTCAAGAGAAACGACCAGATACCATGCATTCTTCACGATGCTGGACAGCAAAAAAGCCGTGTTATTGTACCCTTAGGGTTGGAGAAGTGGAGGACCGTGTCGTCTTTGAAAATGTTGACCTCCTCAATCCCAGGAATCGTGTTCACACCAAGGCGCTTCAGAGTGCTTGATAGCCTCTTGTCGTCGGTCGTCGTCGTCTTGTGAGCGGCCTTTTTCTTCCTGATAGGAGTGAGGAACCAGCAAAAAAAGGCAGACGTCGTCATTCGGCAATGGACCCAAAAGCAGCAGAACGACAACGCCTGCTGAAGTGTTAACAACACTTCCGGTCGTTTCTAACTATTGAACCACTGTATGTGCGTCTGGCCTTGACAGAAAACAACAAATGGAGTTTAGGAAGAAAACCCTAACGCTGAAATTACTGAAACAGGCCAAATCTTCTCGCAAGAAAGTCCTGGTGATACAAAAACCCTGTCAAAGCCTTTCGCCTTCACCAAAAAAACGGTCCGAATACTCTACATCTGTCCCGCGCTTTTCGGATCTTGAACCCTAGAAACCGGTAAAACTGTACCTCCTAACAGTGCCCTTGCCGCCGGTGCGGACGGCAGTGGCCATCTTCATAAGCTTCTCCCGATCCATCTGAAATAAAGTCAAGTTAATAAATAAGGCAGCTAGACGACGACGGAATCGCAACACCTAGCACAGATTCAGAGCTAAAAGGCGAGTCGAAATACTAACGATAACTAACTTGCCCTGTTCTAAACTCATACCTTGCTTACGGGACGCTTCTAGGACGTGAATTAAGTCACGAGGCTGGCCCTGCCTGACCCTACGACTGCTGAGGTGAGCGAATAGGAGAGGGGAAAAGGACTTGGTTCTGCAGGGAAGAGGGACAAAAGCTGCGGAGATTGCTGGGGAGAAGGGGTGCGAGGAGCGGAGAGGGGGATAGGATAGAGGACCGAGGAGGGGACAGAAGAGGATAGAGAAGGGTGTGCACCCTCCTGTGGGCTTTTCCGCGAGAAGACATCAGCAGAATGTGACATTGACGGTACGACAGCAGACAGCCGTCCGATCGTTAACGATAGTCACACATTCTGGGTATGAACGGTATGATTCCAACCAGACTTTTGTAAGTCTGTGCATGTGAAGTTAGGCTCGTGTTTTTGCGGGTGACTCAATAGTGACGTCGGACGAAAGCCCGCTTGCCAGCCAATAGTAACCAGCTTCGCCCTGTGACGTGTACCTCGCCGTAACTTCTACGCCAAACTCCCAAGGGTCACCCGGATTTTCCGACAGGGCCCCTTCTTTATATTTCAAACGTTTTTCACTCCTTGTAAATCCTCACCACCCCTTTCTTCCATCAGTCATCCCTCTCCATGAATCAGCTTCAGTTATGCACCACAGCCACAGCAGCAGCACTTCACTCAACAGAACAGCAGACTTATGAATTGAAACACCAGTCCCATAAAAAAGGGGAAAGCTGAAGCATGACTGGTATCTAGTCCTGGTTACCCCGGCATGAAAGTTTGTAGCCGTCCGTTTTAGCCGCTTTCCACGAACCGCGGACTACTTCAAACCGTAATTCGGGCGAGCATTGTGCCTGTCCGTAATGGAGTGCGTTCACATGCAAACAACCGCCTATACACTACTGCTGCCACCGCTATTATCAGATTCAAGCCTGGTAACCCAGAGAATTGCCGATCCTTTTAATCGCTGTCGTTCTGGCTGCCATCGCTTGCCGTCGTTATCCGTCTTGCATTGTGTAACAACACCGTCACACCGCGTAGCAACACCGTTGCATCGCGCATCAATATTGCCGCATCGCGTAACAACACCGTCGCGGCAACGGCGATTGATGATTCGGCGAGCAGAGGAGGGGTGGAATGGACGATGGGCCGGACCAAATGGTGACGACTGGGCGAGATCAAGCGACTATAAAGGCAGCGATTCTGCGGATGCTCTGGTGAATGATAATGCAGACGCTGGCCGGTGGGGTACCCGCTTCGCGGCATCAAATTCCGCTGATCCTTCCAGCATATCATCCCCACGTGGGGACACAAACCAGTCTCAGGGAAGGGGCTCTCCCAGACAGTCGATTTCTCCTCCTGTTTCTTCCCCCGATGCCACGTCACTGTTCCCTCATGACACGTCATCACCACCTGCTCTCGATCCGACCAACCTCATGCGCGTCCTCGCCTTATCCATGGCTGCGCGCACCGCCATCGTCGCCGCGGCTGCCGGCTCCTTGACCGCCAAGTCCGCTGATCCTCCCGCTGCCTCAAACTCATCCGCTTCGTCCGTGCAACACTCAACTTCGCGACCGCCATCCCAGTCGCTCCAGCAGCAGCAACCACAGCAGGAGTTTGGAGGCAGGTGGAGAGAAGATAGGAGGGGGAATGGGCGGAGAACGGCGGGAAGCGGTGATGGTGGAAGGGGTAATGCACTTGGTTTTAACGGGCTTGAGACGGCTGCAGCCGGAGCAGGGCGGGAGCAACAGCAGGGCGTGAGGGTGTCGTTTGAAGCGCCTCAAGCAGCAGGCATGGGGGCGAGAGCTTCGGTCGAGGCGCCCCAAACCACAGCGGTGGGGGCGAGAGGGCCGCTGCAGCAGAAGCTGGGGTGGGAGGCGGACGGCAGGGGGCGCGGGGGGAGAGGCGGGGGGCGGGGGATGGGTATGGGCGGGCGGACGGGCAGGGAGTTGCCGCTGGGGGTGGCGAGCGCTGTGAGGGGAGGGGGAGGGGAGCGGTCAGGGGGATGGGGAGGTGGGGGAGGCGGGGGAGGGGAGGGGGAGGGTGGGTGGGGAGAAGCTATGAGGGGAAGCGGAGTGGATGGTTTGGGGGGATGGGGTGCAGGGCAGGCGCGAGGGGGAGTGGGGGAAAGGAGAGGGGGGAGGGGAGGGGAGAGGGAAGGAGTAAGAGGGGGAGAGAGGGGAGGTGAGAGAGGGGGAGAGAAGGGAGGAGAGAGGGGGGAACAATGGGCTGTACAGCGAGGAGGGGGTGGGGGAAAGGGGAGTGGCGGAGATGGTGGAGGTGGCGGAATGGGGGAGCGGAGTGGAAGGGAGAGGGAGGAGTGGGACTATATGGATGGGAATCTGACTGATGGGCAGGGCGAGTGGAATGCGGATAGTGACGAGGGTTGGGATAGGGAAGGAGGAGGGGAGCTGCGCGGGGAAATAAGAGAGAGGTTCGGGCAGGGGGGAGGAGGGGAAAGGGGCGGGGGAGTGACAGGGCAGGGGGGAAGGGGAGAGAATCCATTTTGGAGAGGGGATGGGCAGGCGAGTGGTAAGTATGCCGAGGGGAGGGATGGGAGGGATGGGAGGGTGGGAGGATTGGGAAGGGACGGTGGTGTCTGGGGAAGAGGAGCAGGCGAGCAGTCTGGTGTGAGGAGCGGGGAGAGGGAAGAGAGAGGGAGAGAGGGGCAGTGGAGGGGCGGTGGAGAGGGATGGAGAGAGGCAGGGGAGGGAGGGAGAGGGGGAAGCGAGCAGTGGACGGAGAGGGCAAGCAGAAAGGATGGGGGAGGCGGTGCTGTGGCACGTGGGGGTGAGTATGGTGGGGGTGACTATCAGGGGAGTGATGGTAAGAGAGGGGAGGACGAGAGAGGAAGACGAGGGTGGGGGACCGCTGGTGAGGAGGGGAGAGGTGAGATGAGAGTGGGAGTTAGAGGGGAGAGTGGTGCTGAGAGGGAGTGGGGAGGGCGAGTGGGAGAGGTAGATGAAGAGAGGGGAGAGGGTGGGGGAGTGGTGGGAGAGGAGGAAGCCTGGGAGGCAAACGCATTGCGGCAACAGCAGCAGCAGCAGCAGCAGCAGCAGATGAGAGAGCAGCGGAGAGGAACACAGGAGAAACCGCTGGGGGTGAGGGGTGATGCTGGTGGGGCCAGCATGGTTGGCGGCGACAGTGCTGCTTCTTTCCCCACCAGGGCAGTAGAGGGTACGGAGCAGAACGCACGGGTTGACAGCAGAGCCACGCCAGGTTATCCCTCGACCAACCCCAGAAGCACCACCAGCAACAACGCCATTAATAGCAGCAGCGCCAGCAACGCCAGCACCAGCAGCAGCAGCAGCAACAACAACAACCCCAGCACCACCGCCACCACCCCAACCACGACACCATCCGACCCCGGCACATCACTCTCCATGCGCGAGCGCTTCAACCAGTACATGTCCGAGGGGCAAACCCTCCTGCAGGAGGGCCGCGGGGGCCTGCAGGGGCGCATCGAGATCGGCATGGCGGAGGCCTTCTTAGAGCGCGCCACCGCGCTGTTTGAGCGCGCGTGCCAGCTGGACCCGGTGAGCGTGGCGGCCGTGGGGCAGCTGGGGAACGCACTGCTGGCGCACGGGGAGGTGAAGCTGCGCACGGTGCAGCTGCTGCGGAGCCAGTCGCCGCTTGCTGGTCTACTGGGGGGAGCGGGTGGGGCGAGGGGCGAGGGCGCGGGGGGGTTGCCGGGGGTGCAGCAGGAGCAGGTGGGTCGGGAGGCAGCGGCAGTGATGGATCGGCTGGCGGATGAGTGCGAGCAGCTGCTGGTGCAGGCCGGGCGGCAGTACCGGCAAGCGCTCAGCATGGATAGGAGAGATGCCCGCGCGCTCTTCAACTGGGGGCTCGCTTTGTGTTACCGCGGGCAACTCGTGGCTGAGGAGGCTGGGGACAATGAGGTGAGGGGGAGTAGAGTGGATGAGAGAGTAGAGGTTCAGGTGGTACCGCCAGGTACTCAGCATGGATAGGAGAGATGCCCGCGCGCTCTTCAACTGGGGGCTGGCTCTGTGCTACTATGGGCAACTCGTGGCTGAGGAGGCTGGGGACAATGAGGTGAGGGGGAGAGTCGCGGGGAGGATAGAGGTCAAATGAGAAAGCAGAGGATTAGGAAGTACCGCCAGGCTCTCAGCATGGATAGGAGAGATGCCCGCGCGCTCTTCAACTGGGGGCTGGCTCTGTGCTATCGTGGGCAACTCGTGGCTGAGGTGAGGAGGCTGGGGACAATGAGGTGAGGGGGAGTGGGAGAACAAAGTGAGAGGAGAGTGTAGGGAGGAAAGCAAGGTGAGAAAAAAGAGGGGAAAGGGAGAGGCGAAAAATGAGGGAATGGGGCACAGACATGCCTGGCAGGAGTACAAGGGATTAGCAGGTCGCTTGTTCTGTGCACAGCCTCCCATCGCCTACTCTCCCTCTCCCAAGTGCTCTCCCTTTCCAGATCCCCCTCGCTCCCTTGCCACGACTACAAGGCACTAGCAGACCGCATGGTCTGTGATGGTATGTTTCTCTGACACCTCATAAGTTCCATCCCGCTCTCTTTTGAGGCGCGTAAAAGTCGTCTCGTGTCACGCAACAATTTTCTTGCGACTCAAAAGGCCGTGTGGTTTGTTTTCGTGACATCTCACAAGTTCCATCCCGCTCACCACCCACCACGGCACCACTCCCTCCTTTTCCAGGAGTACAAGGCGCTAGCCGACAGCATGTTCTGTAGTTGAGACATCTCACAAGTCACACCACACCATCTCCCCCCGCCCACACCCACCACCCACCTCCTTCCCCCCTTGCCAGGAGTACAAGGCGCTAGCCGACCGCATGTTCTGTAGTTGAGACATCTCACAAGTCACGCCACACCATCTCCCCCCGCCCACACCCACCACCCACCTCCTTCCCCCCTTGCCAGGAGTACAAGGCGCTAGCCGACCGCATGTTCTGTAGTTGAGACATCTCACAAGTCACGCCACACCATCTCCCCCCGCCCACACCCACCACCCACCTCCTTCCCCCCTTGCCAGGAGTACAAGGCGCTAGCCGACCGCATGTTCTGTAGTTGAGACATCTCACAAGTCACGCCACACCATCTCCCCCCGCCCACACCCACCACCCACCTCCTTCCCCCCTTGCCAGGAGTACAAGGCGCTAGCAGACCGCATGTTCTGTAGTTGAGACATCTCACAAGTCATGCCACACCATCCCCCCCCTCCCCCCCTCCGGCCGCACCCACCACCCACCCCCTTCCCCCCCAGGAGTACAAGGCGCTGGCAGACCGCATGTTCTGTGCCGCCATTGACAAGTTTGAGGCCATGCTCTCCATGACCGACCGCTGGCACGCCAGTGGTGAGTGCCTTGCCCTTCACGCGCCCACTTCCTCCTCCTCCCACATCTGCTCTACTTTGCTCAGTTCGCATCTCCTGCCATTCTCCCTTGTCTATCCTTGTATTCAAGGGCACTCCTCTTATCTTCTGTACATCCCTACCTCATTCTCCCACCACTCATCCACTGGGTTCTTGCCCCTCTAAACTGTTCCTGCCGCCTCCTCCCTTTTTCTCACATTGCCCGTCCGTGAGCTGCCTCTCTCCACTTATCCCAAGCTCCCTTCTATCCACACCGTTTTACCCCCCTTACATACCCCCTCCCCCCAGCTCTCCTCAACTGGGCGCTGGCCCTGAGGGACGACCACTCGTGCCTTTAGTTGTCTCCCTCGCCTTACCCCAACTCTCTCCCACCGCCATTTCCTCCCCCCCTTCTGGCATCCCCCCTCCCGCCAGCTCTACTCAACTGGGCACTGGCTCTCAGGGACCGCTCGCGCCTGCGCCCCCTCTCCTCCGTTTCCCGCCTGCGCTTAACCCAGGAGGCCCTGCAGCTGCTAAGGCAGGCTGCTAAGAGAGACTCTCCGCTAAGCGACGGATCCCCCCGGGACCCGACGTTCTCGGAGGTTCGGAATGCGCTGGTGTTGTGCGAAGCTGAGGTGGCGAAGCTGAAGGAAATGGTGGGGAGGGGTGCGGATGGTGGGAGGGGGAGTGGGGGTAGAGTGCTGAGGCCTGGCAATGAGAGTAGTATGTCGGGCTGGTAGGTGTGACAGCTAGTGTGTAGGTGTCTGGTAGGTGTTTGTTGGTCAAATGCCATGGGCAGCAGGAATTCTTCTCCCATGGAACTGGGACAACTGCCAGATGGAAATGGCAGTCAGAATAGCCGTTACATAAATATATTTTCTGGTTGCAGTGCAGTAGCTGGGCTGGGAAGGCCACAAAGCGCAACGAGTCGAAACACATAGAGTGCTCTTGAAGTTGGCATGTCTGGTGACTTGTAGACAGTAGTTACATTCTGAGTTGTCAAAGTTTCTGTTTAGTGAGAGGTCTACATTCAGGGTGCTATTTGTCCGTTGCAGCTGGTTTTTATAGAGGCCTTACCGTATTATACATAAATTGTTAAGGGGGGATTTACTGTTCATTCCGAACAGTACTTTCCAACTCACCCTTATCCTTATCTTCCTAGATTTCCTAGTGCCACGTGGCACTCTACTTTTCTTGCCTTCAATTCCTAGTCCCACGAAGTACTTTCCGACATTCGATCTTGCATGCTATATCAACCTTGCTTGTACTTGCCATTATCAATCAATTCTCATTCAACTCTTCTTCAATTACTCAGTAACTTCTTCGCCTATTTCGCCATTAGTTCTTTCGCCAAAGTCTTCCGCCGAGTTTCATCCTCGACTTAGTCGACCCCGCTAATTCTTTAGCGGACTTAGGCCGTCGGGCCTAACACTTGGTATCAGGAGCCTTCGCGGGGAACGACTTCCAACGAGCGACCGTCGACGACGAGACTACGACGCCATCGTCCCGCGGTGCCGACTTGCAGACTTGGAGTCGTCGAGCGAACATGGACGAAACCATGCACGCTCTCCCCCACGACATGGGCAACACGCTTGCCGAACTCATGCGCCAACTTCAAGAGTTGACGTTGGAAAATCGTCAGGTACGAGCTGAAATGCAACAGCTTCGTGAATTGGCTTCTAACCCCCATGGTCATGCCGCTCCAACTCTTGCGCCCAACACGTCGACTGGCGCGGAAGCGCTGCCGGAACGTCGAAGCGCGCTCAAGCCGCAGAAACCCGAGTCGTTCGACCCGAGTCAACGCGACGCGAACGTGCGGACGTGGCTCTTCATGCTGAACAACTACTTCGCCGCGAGCGGGGTGCAAGAGGCGGACGCGCAGCAGCGGATCGAGTACGCCGTTACGCTGCTGAGGGGCCCGGCCTTGGAGTGGTGGCGCTAACTCACTCAAACTGCTGTAAGAAGGGCTCAGACAGACGGGCATCAACAGGGCGTGGGGCATGCAGCTGCAACTTCGAGCTTAGGGAGTTTAGCTTTGGGTGTTACCACGGTTCCGACCACATGGGAAGGATTTGAAGCGGCGCTGAAAAGTAGGTTCGATTTGGTGAACGCCTCCGAAGCTGCTAGGAAGCGTCCGCGTCATTTCCGACAGATAGGAAACGTCCAGGAGTACACACGACGGTTCTTGAGCATCTGCAACGAAATAGATGACATCACGGAAGCAGAGATGCGCGATCGCTACCTCGAAGGGTTGAAGCCGGACATAGCGGAAGTTATAGCGATTCACGGGTTGTCCACCTTCGAGTCAGTTGTCGCAGCCGCAGAACGCGTCGACGCAGTACGAAGCCGACGGGGTCGTGACAATCGCGATAGGGGATTTAACAGACCGATCAACGACGCTCGATCGAGGGACGGACCATCGCCCATGGAGATTGGTGCAGTTAACAGTGACGGCTCACAGAAGACGGGTTTTAGGGGGAACTGTCACTACTGCAAAAAGCCGGGACACATGAAGCAGCTATCCTTAAGGAACGGCAGCAGGGAAACAGAGACCGCCAGTAGATAGCGGGTCGCTAGCTGGTGTGGAGGTTCCCGTACCCGCCACGTCTACCAACGTAGAGCAGACGGCTTTGCAGCAGTCATCTACGGAGAACGAGGTAGACACTGTTGACCGACCAGTCGTGCTTCTAGGGAAGCTTCGCGGAGTTCCTGTTAAGATTCTCGTAGATAGCGGAGCTAGCCACTCGTGAGAAGAATGAAGAACGAGGATGAATGAACTATGAATGAGGTGAGTACATATGGAAAACCCTAATTGGGTTGTACCGCCTATGGGATACCCCACTATAGCCTACACAACAGCATAAGCTATATAATGTTCTGACACACCCCCATAGGCAAAGTGGGGGAGAACAAAGGGTCACAAGACCAGTCAAGCAAAGAAGAGCAAGCTCAGGGTGGATCACAACGTCACCACACAGTCCGAGCACAACGACAAGGCCACAAGGCCAGTTCACATGCAGGAGTACACATATATATATAGAGCTAGACAAGCAAGAGCAGGTATATATATGTGACAGTACAAGTAAGGTCAAGAGGAGAGCAAGTGAGGCAAGACAGGTACAAGACCCAGCTGAGTGCAGAAGCGCTGATGGTCACAAGGCGCAAGTGCCTTGGTGAACACATCAGCAGTGTTGGCCTCAGAGGCCACGTACGCAAGTCGCAACTGACCACGCTGCTGCAGCTCACGAGCAAGAAAGTAACGGAGAGCAATGTGCTTCGTTCTGTGCTCCAAGCGCTGCTCTCGACACAAGGCCAGCATGGCCTTGTTGTCTACGTACAGCACTGGAGGAGAACGAGGCGGCTCTCCAAGGTCAGTCAGCAGGTAGGTGAGCCAGCGAAGCTCCTGTGCAGCCATGGCCCCGGCGTAGATCTCAGCCTCACAACTGGAGCCGAGAACAGAGGACGAGCGAGTAGCTCGCCACGAGACAGAGCCGGAACCAAGACTGAAGGTGTAACCCTGCGACGACCGCTGCGTAGCCTGGTCGTCAGCCCAAGAAGCGTCCGCGTGCCCAGTGAGGACCACTGGACTCCGCCCTCCAAGCACTAGTCCCATGCCCGACGTACTGCACAAGTATCGCAACACCCTCTTCGCTGCAGCCATGTGCTCTGGTCGGTGTCTCCCAGGAGCAACATAGCGTGCAAGAATGCTAAGAGGGTATGCAAGGTCAGGTCGTGTGCAGGTCATCAGGTACATGAGGCAGCCAACAAGCTCTGGATACGGGCCACTCGACTCTACTGACTCATCCGAAGGCAGAGCTGAGAGTGAGTGGCGAGTAGGCAGAGGAGTGGCCTGAGGCGAGGAGTACGTGAAGCCGAAGCGCTGAAGGACCTGCTGCACCATGTGTGACTGAGTCAGGGTAATGGTGCGGCGTGCTCTGTCCCGGGTGATCTGCAAGCCAAGGTAGCTGCGCAGTTCACCCAGGTCTGTGCACGTGTGTCTCTTCTGCAGCTCGGACTTCACGTGGGCGAGTCCAGCAGTGTCAGCTGTGGCAAAGACCAAGTCGTCGACGTACACGAGGATGTAGAACGGCGGCAGAGAGGTGTCGGTGCGTAGAAACAGCGACGGGTCGGCAGTAGAAGGAGCAAACCCAAGAGCCGCAAGCGTAGTCCTCAGTGTGTCGTGCCACTCACGTGGCGCCTGGCGGAGACCGTAGACTGGACGCCGGAGACTCCACTGGGTACCAGGAGGGAAAGACCCAGTGAAGCCAAGTGGGCGGCGCAGCCAGATCTCCTCGTGCAGGCTGCCCTGCAAGAAAGCAGTGCTGAAGTCGAGAGAGTGCAGCTCGTAGTCACGGTGAGCAGCAACGTGTAGCAGCACCCGAAGAGTGGTCATCTTCGGGGTGGGGGAGAAGGTCTGAAAGTAGTCAACTCCCTGTCGCTGACTGAAGCCACGAGCCACGTAACGTGCCTTGAAGACAGGCGGAGAACCCGGCGGCCGCTTCACCCTGAAGATCCACATGCCACTGACGATGTTCGCCCCAAGAGGGGGGACAGCGTCAACGTAGGTGCCTGTGGACTTCCAGGAAGCCATCTCTGCATCCATAGCTGCCTGCCACTGAGAGGAGTAGGGACCCTCTATCGCCTCCGCGTAAGAGCGCGGAGTCGGGATGTCAAGTGCATCCGGGTCTCCCTCAGGGGTAAGCAGTACGGACACGAGATGAGGTGAAGTAGCTGCCAGACACTGGAACTCCTCCTGCCTGTCCTCAAGGACGTCCGTGCCAAGGGCACACTCACCCCCGACTGACGGAGGACAGGCAGACCCAGACTCAGCGACAAGACTAGCAGCGTAGTCTAGGCGACAGCGAGCAGCAAAGTCGACGAGCTCAGTAACTAGGGCAGACGCAGCAGTAGACTCGAAGGAAGGGTCAGTGACGACAGTAGCAAGGAGACGCGTGACAGTAGGACTGGCAGCACGAAGAGAGTCCGACGCAGGGTCGGGAAGAGCAGGAAGAGAGGACTCAGGAGGAGAAGGCAAAGGGGCACGCAGAGGAGCAGTAGACGGACGCAGAGACATCCTGTGCGTGCCAGGGACAGGAGGAGGACGCTGACGCGAACCACGACCACTAGCGCGAGCAGCACGGACAGGCGACGCAGGGCGAGACGCAGGCTCACGACGCTCAGTAAGACCTCCAGTAGGACCAGTGTAGGGAGAAGGAGCAGGCAAAGGGGAGGTAGGCTGTAGCAGTGACCGCGACGGGACAGGCTGTGGACCCTCCAAGAGAGGAGGAGGACCAGGAGAGGGCGGAAGACCAAGAACCTGCTGCAGGAGTGGAACGAAGTACGGTCGAGGCCGCGTAGCTACGCCAGAAACAGCAGGGACAGCACCAGTACCCCCAGCAGGAGCACCCGCTCCAGCAGCACCTCCAGTAGCTCCAGAACCTCGAGCAACACCAGGAGCACCCCCAGCAGGACCGCCAGTGGTAGTCTCAGCGCCAACACCCTCAGCAGCACCAGCTCCAGTCGAACCCGCAGGCCCAGCAGCTCCAGTAC